AGGCATTGCTACTTCTCAACTGGGGTTCTGAAGGCCCAGCTCCTGCCCTGGCCCTTGCAACCAACACAGCATCTAGGCCTTGGAGAGGGAAAGGGGAGCATGCCTTGGGGCAAGTAGGGGAGGAACCTGGAGCTCTGGACTTGGATCTCTTCCAAAGAGTGTTTCAGCCTCCTTCCCTCCCTCCTCCAGCACTAAATCCAGGCCACCAAAAACTGCAGTCTAGGAAAAAAACCCAAGGGGAGGCAAAGCGCTGGCAGAAACTGCCGCTGCTGCACACTATTCCAGGCTCAGGGTGGACATGAGCCTCCAAGTTCAGAGACAATAACTGCATTAGGGGCATGGGACAAAGATGCCTCTTGCAATAATTTATGTGAGGTGCAACTAAATTATTGCATTTGCTGGTAAGAATTGAAAAGCAGTATTGAATGAGTGGACTGTTGCATTTATAGCTGAAATAAATTATTTTTGCCATGTTATTACATAGCAAACCTTGTTGCCACTCTGCTTATTTTATTTTCACTCAGTTAAGAATGAATAGCTTACACGAGAAAGGGATTATGCTTTTTCTGTAATGGGAGCGAGCCTAGCTTTGCCAGACTCCCAAGCCCCTCTTCCTTTACTAACATGACCACCCAGAGTTTGGGTGCTTTTCCGACCCACTGCTTGTAAAGTCATTTGAATGCAACAAACTGCAGCCAATCTTACTGATGGTTTTAGGAAGCAAGTGTACTTCAAACCCTTAAATAACTGGTGTCTCTCAAAAAACCGTAGATAAAAGTTACGGCAGTTTAGGGCAGGGGTCTCAAACTCAACTGACCTGGGGGCAGCTGCAAGGAGAGTCTGGGTGAGGCTGGGCCACATCAAGTATTCCACCACCGCGGTGGTGGTGGGCCGCTCATCCCGCGTGACTCCCGGAGGCCGGCCCGGGCGCCGCCGGCGCTTTGAAGGCTGCAGGGCTCGTGGCCCGCCCATCCCGGCAATTGGCCCACGGGCCACGGGTTGGACACCCCTGGTTGAGGATGCACAAAAGTGTGGTTAATTGAAAAGGGAAGTAAAAGCTTCAGAACATGTTGCAGCCGTGCCAAAGGAAATTGAAGAGACTTATATTATAATATATAAATTATATATAAATTACATACATAAATTATATGTAATTTATATTATATATATACACACACAAAATAAATGTATAAATTAAATGTAATTTATAATATATATTGCATATATAAATTATGTGTAATTTATATTAGAATATATATCTAAATTACATGTATAAATTACACATAATTTATAATATATATAAATTACAAAATAAATTATAAACTGTGGTTTACTGTGTGTGTTCAGCAGTGAATATTAGCCACTTTCAGGTGTCATAATAAACCATAGTCTATTCTCTCATCTGAATACAGCCAGTGTGACTTCTAGGGATAATTCCAGCTATTTTAGTAGTTATTTTAGATAGTCATTTTAGCTATTTTTCATGTCCCCACATTTGTGCATGCAGATAAACAACACATTTCATTTTATTCTTTTCAGGGGTACATACTGTAAGGATGCCTTTTAGTAGAGTCAATAGACAATCCATTTAGCCCTTTATTTGTGGTGGAGGAGGGTGTCTTATAGAAAAATATGTAAACTTCAGTGCTTCAGGTTGTCAAAGATTCTCAGCTATGGTGGATGGTGGACAGGAATAAGGTTGGAAAAGTAGTAGGTTCTTGACCAGGGAGTGGGTGACTTTTTCTGAAGTTTCTCCATCGCTTAGCCATCTTCAGCTCTCCTGTGGCCACAGGAATTTGTCGTCGGATACTCTAGAGTTGAAAGCAAACAGAGGCAGTGGAGTATCTGATTCTTAACATATGCCTTGGAATGTGAACAGCCTGATATGGTGTCCTCGTTACAGTGTTGTTGGGAGGCCTGGATTCTACTCCATAGTTAACTGTGAAGCTTTTGTAGTGTGTTTGGCCCATTCACTCACCCTCAGCCTTACCTGCCTCCTGCAGTTACTGTGTGGACAAGATGGGGAGGAGGAGCAGAAAGTTAGCCACCTTGGGTTCTTTGCAACGGAGAGTAAATATAATTCACATTACTGCTATTGTTGTTGTTTAAAAATTGGTCAGATTCTGTTGAAATCCAAACTTTCAAATGCAGTAGACTTCCCAGCTAAAGAGTGGGTTAGAAATGCTTTTGATAATACATACAGGAATCATACCAGTCATGAGATCCAGACTTGGGGAGACAGTTGGAAAGGTGGACAGAGAAGCAATTGGAGCATCCTTGGAAATTCTGTGGGGAAACTCATAATACTGGGCCACCTGCCTTATGATTAGTTAGAGTGGGAAAATTTCTTTTCACCATTGTGAAGAGCACAAGAATGCTTAACCTATTACTCTTGAATTTTTTACTAGGATGGAGGTGGAAAGGGGCAGGGGTGCAAAGTAGGGAGGGGGCATAGCTGTGCCTCCTTCTTTGCTCAGGCAGTCAAATATATTGTGTAGGTCCTAGTGTCTTTCTGTCTGTGTATGTGTAATTAAAATATATGTTGAAGTATTCCCCTTTCCCTTGGATTTCCTGCCTTCACCATAAGTTACATGTTAATTCATTGCACAATTGATTTCAAGTTAATTCCTATTTTGTAAATAAAAATACCAATAAAAATGAATTTTCAACAGGAATGGATTAGAATGCTATTAGAGCCCTGCAAATTAAATGTGGAACTTCTAAGGTTCATCACATTTTAATATATTCTCTTAAATGTGCAACTTCAGTGGAGAGCAGTGCTGGCAGAATGAAAGTTCTGTCAGGAAATGATGAAACAGTTTGATTATTTTCTTGTTTCTTCAATCCTGATAAGAAAATGATCCCATTAGAGATTTAGCCAAGCTTACAAATAACTTTGCAGTTAATCAATTACACATAGTGAAAGTAATACTCATCAATTAATTGTTGGTGAGACTCTTTCTTTTTTATTATTATTCTGCAGCAGGGGAGAAAAGGACCAGTATTTGAATTAGTGTCCAACTTGTTGTTGTTATGTGCCATCAAGTTGTCTCCGAATAATGGCATCCCTATGAATAAACGCTCTCCAAAATGTCCTATCCAGGACAGCCCTGCTCAACTCTTGTAAATTTCAGATTGCAGCTTCCTCTATGGAATCGATCCATCTCCCATTTGGTCTCCCTCTTCTTCTGCCTTTGACTTTATTATTGACATTATTGCCTTTTTCAGTGAGTTGTTCCTTCTCATGAAGTCTGCAAAATATGACAGCTTCAGTTTTGTCACAGGAAAATTCTATGCACATTTATTATTGTTCGTATCATTATTCTAGAAAAACACAATGTGCAGTCCTGGACTTTTGCCAGCTGGATAGAAACCATAGTAAATGGGTTGAGTGATGGTCAGGAGGAACAACATGTACCGAAGCGGCGCAGAATCTGCAGCCATTCAGATGTTGTACTGCAGATGTGTTGCTCCCGTGAAACCAAGACACCAAGTCCAGTGGTCAAGATTGGTGGAAAAGGGTGCAAACTAAAAACATCTAGAGCAGCCTTCCCCAATCTGGAATTATCCAATTTGTTGGATAATTATAAGCTACTTTAAGAAGACTGTGCTGGTTAAAACCCTCTAGATTTTTTAAAATTGGATGCAAATGAATACATTTCAATTCCCCCGGGCTTTTATGGAGTTTTGGGCTTGCTTCATTTTCATATTTGCTGTTGTTTTACTGAAGACCTATGCTGTATGCTGAGTAAAAATTTATGGAGATAGGTTTCTTGAAATAGAAGTTTTCTGCTCTTTGTAGGAGAGATATTCTGGAATTTAAAAAAGAAAACAGCACAAATCCCAGAGGGTCTTACGCATTAGTATGTTTGGTATTTTGTTATTTCCTGGCCAATGAAAAAAACAAGTAAGGATGGGTTGCATTTTAGATTCAGGGAAGGATTTTTCACCTCCTCTAATGGTTCTTTACATATCTTGTAGGATGCCTTTGATTATATAACATGTAAATCAAGAAGAGGTGGTACCTTGGAGAAGACCAACCTCAGTAGTCTGTTATAGGCAGCTACATCACAAGAGATTCTAAATGCAAATAAGTATGCCTCCCATCTTTGTTATGCAAGCCATTCCATGAATTCCACTAGCCTCTGAACTTTGATTTCATTTTTGTGCCACAAAGAATACATTTTTGTGTCCTTTTGTAAAAGATATGAAAGAATCCTGTTAAAGCTTCAAGTAAAATCAATTTGCCATTATTTGAAAAATACACCTTAGTATCCGTGGATTATTTCACAGAACTTCATTTCCAATCATTTATAGTTCAAGAGACTCTGACTCCAGACACCCATTTTCTTATGTATAGTTTCTCTGCCTCCCACATTCTCTTGGCCATTGATTTGTTCCTGGCAAGCCTTGATCAAACGTATGGTTTTTATTTTTAATAACAGTTGTCTTAACAGTAGAACCGTTTGTCAGCTCATTCCATGGAACAGATTAGTTCCTGGAGTTGTTTACATTGAAGGAAAGTTTGATAGAATTGGATGGTTTCTTCTATTTTGATTTAACATGAAATATGTTTAGTTTTCCAGCCTTATTGTTCCTTTCACAGCCATTTTCTTAAAAGGGGTTTACTGTCAATGAAATCCAGTGGCATCTGAGCTGTAACTCTCAGACTCTGATTGATTTTACTTTATTCCAAAAACAAAACACGAATAAATGGAAACCTATGACAAATTGCTTAAGTCCCTTTGTTTATTTTGTCTTAGTCAAACTTTCTCTGCAGATTGCATGCAGATGCAAATCTGTGGACATTCTCCCTGCTTGCACGCATTCGTTCTGCTAGCTCATCAGTGACAATTACATTTCAATGACAGATTGATCTGAATATTCGCGCCCACAAAGAGAATACAGCATCATCCTATTAGGCACCGGGTCTCAGCCCTTCCGCCATCATTTCAAAGAATAACCTGGTCTCTTGTTTCCTCTCCCTCTTGTGCCTTCAGAAATGCAAGGAAGCCCACGCAACCAGTTTACCTTCAGGCCGCTCCCACCTCCACCTCCACCTCCCCACGCGTGCACCTGCAGCAGGAAGCCTCTTTCAGCAGGCGATTCGCTCCAGGGAAGATCGATGACCACCCGCAGCCAACCCAGCCCAGCTGCTCCACCTCCGCCAACGAGCACACAGGACCCGGTGCATCTGCACAACAGCTGGGTCCTGAATAGTAATATACCGCTGGAGACCAGGTAAATGGAAAGCTTTATTTGGACCTGTTTCTGTGCTAAAAAGAGCATGCATGTGGACAAAGAAGGAGGAGTCAGAATAGACTGATCATCTGCTAGATAAATTGGTATGCACAATAAAAGAGAAATACAGAGTAGCATAACTGCATAGGAGTCTGCACTACAATTTTTGCTTTTTGTACATATCAGTTTATTGTAAGGCTGGTCATCCGTTCATTGACCCACTTCAGACATTAAATGGACCTGCATAACTTTGCTCACACTGTTCCTCCCACTCCTACATTTTTAAACAAATCACAGTTCCCTGTGATGCTCATACTCAAAGAACTGTGGGTGGTTTAAATTGTGACTACAAAAAACAAAACAGGATCAAATCCTGGCTTGTTCTGAGGCAAGCGTATCAAACCACAGTTATAAAAGCTCAGATGTCACCATGAACTGTGGTTTGTTTAACGGCAGGGGATTTGGAAAGAAAGCAAATAGGGAAAGAAGGGCTATGTGGGTATCTTGGAGGATTATTTATGCAGTGAGTAACTATGGCTTTCCTTGGCATCTGAGCAGGGTGACTAAATTAGTTCAAATTGCGAACTATCAGTTCTGGAAGCTGCACTGCAATAAGCTCCACCAGGTGTTTGGGACTTCCGTGATCCTTCCTCTTGATTAGTAGCTCTCCGCTGCTTCCATATGGAAGCCAGGAGGGAACGAAGATGTAGCCATTTGTCAGCTACTTGTCAAAAACAGCAGCGGTATGTGTGTCAAGGGACTCTGGGGAAACTCTGCAGGGTGGAATTATTCATATGAGGGTGCTTCACAAAGTCTGCAGAAAATATGTGCCACTGCTCCAAGCCTCTTTATTTAAAAGCATTATTTCTGAGTATGTGTTTGCAAGAAGAGAATGCGGGGGGGGGGGGGGCTAAAAGAGAATAGGCCTGAGAATTAAGAAGCTTCCAGAATAGGAAGGAGCCTGCTCTGTGCAATTTCTGAGCTCAACTAATTCACATGCAAACATACCTGCTTAGTTTTCACATTAAGCATCCACCTTTGCAATTTACTATGGCTTGACCCTTGGTTAAGGAGGTGTACCAGTGGTCTGCATCAGCATGCTGTTAGATGCTCATTCCCCACCCATTTATGTATAAATTCCGTGGGGCATAATTCAAGGGATGTCAGGAATGGGGGCATTCCTCGGAAACTGGGAAGACCTGACAAATGCAAAATTAATTGCCTGCAGGATTTCCTAGGACAAATCTTAGGATTGGCTGGGTATGCAGTGGCTCCTTCGGGGTGACCTGACAATGGCTGTTTTGTTGGCAACCTCTGGCAAGCATTTCCTGAGCACAGTCTGCCTCTGCCCATTTCTCTGGCCTAGCACCGTCCTGCCGCAACCCTTGGCTAAGCGGTGGCTCTTTTCCATTTCCAAGGTCTTTCACTGTGTTCCTTTTAAGACTGCCAGCCTGACGGTGGGGACAGTCCATTTGTAAATCTTTTCAAGTTTCCTTGTCTCTCCTTTAGCACTGGCTGTTGCATTTTTAAAAGGACATAAAGTCACCCACCTGGCCTACCTTCTGTGTTACTAAGAAGCAATTACAATAACTACAATAAAAGGCACATTGTGAAGAGAAACAGAGTGGCTGGTCAGTTGCTCATCAGATAACGCCCCTTTCTCCACCTGAACACTTCCTGGAAAGAATCAGAGGAAAGGGTTGCCCTTTGGGACTTGAGATTCAATGGCAAGCTAAGGTTTGGCATCAAGTGACCAAGGGGTGGGCATCTGGACCCTCCCCAACATGTTCCGTCCCGACATCAACCGGAATTGGAAAGCCAGCGCCAGCCTGTGGCGTAGGGCTCTGCTTGGGATGGAACGGCTAGTTTTGACGTCAGGTTCTCTGCAAAGGGGAGGGTGCTGCAGCATGCAGGGGGTTGTGACTGGAATGCCAAGCTATTATTTGATGGCGCATTTTATAATTGGTTTATTATTCTTTTGTCCTGCATTTCCCTGAAGGGACTTGTTTTGTTCCCACGGAGAGATGTGCAGGATTGGCTCAGGGTCACCCAGTGAACTTGGCTGACTGAGGATTTGGGCTTGGGTTTTCTTAATGCTGGTCCAAGATCTAGAGGAAAGATGACACGGATGATTATTAAATATTGGAGTACAACTCCCAGCACCCCTGACCATCGGCTATGCTGGCTGGGATGATGGGAGCTGAAGCACAAAACATCTGGAGGATATCAGGTTGAAGCAGCTTAGGTATGGCATTTCTTCTACAAAGCTGTATATGAAAAGTTAGCTTCCTCAGACTATTTTGAGCAAACCATTTGATGAATGGAGGCAGATCAATTGATCAACTATCAGTCTCCTTTTTCCCTTTTCAAAGCTATGTGAAAAGAGGAGGAACTCTTACACAATCAGACACATTTTCTGGCAGCTGTATTCTAGATCGTTCTTGTATAATAGTACTGAAATCTACCTAATAGGCATAAGCTGATTTTTTTTTATTATTTGGAACATTTGTAATCTCAAAGTAGATTTAGAGGCATTAATTTGTGTTCCACTGTAATAACTAGAGATAATTCAGAATGCACATGTTGAGGGCTTATATCCAACCAAATCTCAGTCTTAGTCCTAAATTGCAAACAGCTAGCTTTGCTTCAAGTGTGAGGGTGTGATATGCAAGGCATTTGCAGAGAAGGAATGTTCTTCCTACAGCTGTTTGTATGTATTATCGATAGTGGGCTGAATACCTTTCATACTGTACTTTTCAGTACTGAGAATGTTTACAGCAGCTTCCAATCATACAAACAAGGCATCATTATTAAATTTATTTTTTCAGTATTATTCATCTGGGTAATGGTGCTTTACAAAGAATAGGTTTTACAAGGTCCTGCCAGAAGGGGTTTACACTCAAAAAATAGATTCAAGGAAGTAACAAAAGAGGTTGGAGAAAACAGAAGCAGGGGCACAGAAGTCTTAGCTGAACAACAGCAGGAATTTGCATCTAGAGGGTTGTTCCAAATGCTTCCTGGAAAAGGTGAGTTTGGAGAGGAATGTGAAGCACCTAAAGGGGAGTGTCTTTAGGAAACTTTCCATTCCAGGAAACAGTGGTGGGCATAAGAGGCAGCAAGGGAGAAGTGATGGATTTGTTTTGGGGAGCGGAAGGTCTCTAGATGGGATTTTTACTGTTGTACCTTTGCTTCTGAATGGTTGTGCACCTCCTAAACCACCCAGAAAGCTTCAGTGATTGTGTGGTATGGAAATGAAATGATTAACGATACTATAATGTTAAAGGTGTGGAGCTGCACAATCATGTGTTGCACAAGGAGGTAAAGGGGTTAAGACCCTGCAGCATGTTGAAGTTAGGAATTGGGAGTGGACAGAGAGCCAGTGTGAAGACTTAAGCAGCAGTGTGTCGTGGACAAAGCTAAAAAAGTGATGAGTAGTATCTGAACAATTAACCTGAGTAACAAAAAAGAAAAGATGCACTCATAATAAAAAAGAGAATTCAGCCAGTAAAAATCACCATACACGAAAACACACAGGAGCAGTAACAGTGATGAGGCCCAAAACCAGCTGCCTGTCCTAAGAAAGACTGGCAAAAAACAGTGTTTTGAACTGGTGCCTGAAGAGATTCTGCCAAGCGAGTCTCTCTGCAGATTGTATTATATAACTGGGGGGCCAGCGCTGAGGAGGCTCCATCCTTGGTCTCAGTCGCCTAATGTTTGAAGGTGAAGGCATAAAGGAGAGGGGGGCTTAACATCTGTAATTCCCAGCACTAGGAACCAAAAGTTACCATCCTAATAAACGCCATCGTAAATGCTATATGTGTTTTCAAGCGCATTTGAATGAAGGATGCCAAATTTCTCAAAAGTATTCAACATACTGGAACGAAAGCACCCACTGTCCAAATGCCCTTCTCAGATCTGTTCACCAACCCAACTGCAAGCCCGGATTGTAGAAATGCATTTAAATGTCCCCTTTCCATATGAAATGCTCTAGGTAGGTACAGTACAGGCAAAACAGAATCAAGAATACAGTGTGAGTTCTTTTGAACATGAAAAATGATATACATCAAGCTACTGTTACTTCATTTGTTTTATATTCAGTTTAATGTAAAACAAATGTAAACATAAAAGCTAATGTGAAAACATTTGTTTTTAATTTTCATCTTCTTTGCCTATTATGGCTGAAATTTGGAAGGTACAGTGCCCTATGGAAGTAGCAGAATGCTTGCAAATTGGATGGAAATTGCAGGTTTAGAAGCAGGGGAACACCAGCTGTCTTCCACCGAGGTTCTAGAATTTCACCCCAGTTTAATTGCATCTGAAATGCAGGCACTCAGTTTAAAGTGTTGTGAGCCGGTCTTTCTCTCCCTCCCAGCCCCTCTCCTTTTCCCTTCCCAGCAGACCAAGAAGCTTCTAACTGTGGGCTTTTATTATGTTAAGGCTGACCAGCCAGGACTGGCTTTGTGATGCAAAGTGATTAATGTAAAATACATCAGTAGGAAGAATCTATCGAGTTAATAAACTCACTGATTAATAGATTTAGTTCTGCCCATGCCAGAATTTGATTCCAAACTGAATCCTCTTTCTCTGTTCCCCACCAAACAGAGTTGGGTCCACCCTGAGGGAGGTCTACACTGCTTGTGGCCCAGGTATGAATGCCAGACATTATTTAATTGCTCTGGCATTGGACCACTGGATTGATCAAGTTATACCCGTTGCCCTCTCTCCCTACCTGTTCCACAGCATCTCCCCACAAACCAGCCTCTTGATTTATCTACCTGGGCCACTCAGCCAGGCATTCCGACCCTGACTCGTCTTCTCATCCTAAAAGGCCTGCCTTGTAACGCTGCATGTTGAGAGAAGCAGCCCCAGGTGTTTAAAAGTGCTGCTTAACCCTTGAAAAATCCACTGTGGTCACATGCAGACAACATGCTGAGGACTGCATTTTCATAATGGCGCCCACTCATTCCCAGCATGCACTGCAGCATTCCTGTGTCATGGCATGCAAAAAGGCCTCCGTCAAATCTGTTCAGAGTGTGATGAGGTACGATGCACTAGTGAAGAAGCACAACACCTGTGAATTTCAGGCATGCGCCATCTCCAGGAGCCGAACTTGGGAGCCCCAGCCATCCAGGATTTGGGCCCTGAGCCCGGGGTCCTGCACCCCACCTGCATATAGGCATGACAGGCCCTCAGCAGAATCCTACATACAGTACATCTTATCCAAAGTAGGCTTCCTTGAGTGTAACAGAGCCAACTGCCGTCTCAGTGGGAAGAGGACTGCAGCCTTGGACTACTCGGAGGAGTAGTAGAAGAGTCCTGTATTCAAAGTTATCCACATACCATGTCTTATTATTATAATGTATTGCATTCTTTGCTATTTCAGAGATGTGTAAAAAAAAAGACAGGAAAGAGTGAGGATACTGTTCAAAACATATGACCCTTCCACCTTTTAGTGGCCCAGTCTTACAATCTTCCTTGCATGGAAGGTTTTTTTCCCTCCCTCAGGACAAAGCATACACAACTCATTGCCTGCTCACTTCCTTCTCACTAAAAATAATCATACTTCTCAGGTTTTATGGATACTTTGCTCTAATTGTTCTGGACTGATGATTTACAGGGCCATGTGTTGCCATTAGCTTTGACAGCCGCATCTCACTGTGGCTTATTGTGTTTATAGGATCCTTAAACTCCCAGCAATTCCATAAAATGAGTTTCCATCTTTTCTTTGCTTTGCAAATTATTTAAGACTATAATCATATCCTATTTGGTCAGGGAATTCCATTGAACTCGGGGGACTTTCTTCTGAGTAGACATATCCAAGACTTCATTGGAAATGTGTTAAATGCCCCTGGCCACCTTCCCCATCAGGTGTGGCCACCTTAACAGCAGCTGCAGGGCATGGAAGAGGGGCAATCCATCCCCTCCCCTACTTTCTGTGCAGTTGGTTGTGGTAGTGTAGGTTGCAAAAGAGGGGTGCTGTGAGCAAGCACCCCAGGAGCTAGCCTTGAAGATCCTCCTCCTCCCCTGCACCACATTTCCAGGGTTCCTCCAAGGCAACAGGTTGAGAAAGGCTGTTCTGACCACTGCACGAGCTCTAAGAGCTCCAAGCGTCGATACACGGGTAGTTGGGGTACTCCTTTGCTGTTCAGCCCCACACAGCACTGGAATATGACCCAGCAGCCCTTTGGACTTGAAGAACTTCCCCACTCCTGCATGACATAGTGGACAGGTGGGGAGAATCAGTTCTTAGATTTCTAGGTTAAATAATCCATGCTGTTTCCCTCTACGGCATATTTATTCTCCGCTTCCTCCAAGAGCCTGCACATATCACACATCCTGCTTGACAACAATCTTGTGTGGTTGGTTGCACAGAGATAAAGTACCACATAATCCCCTGTGAGGATTATGGCTCCCATGGCTACAACAGAGACATATGGATGGCTCCGTGCGACAGGGATATGGATGGCCCCCATGGGCAGAGATTTGAACCTGGGCATCCCAAGTCCTTCCCCCACGTACAACCTGCTACTTCTCTGTGGCTGTCAGTGTGGTGTGAAGGGGAAAGACTTTAAATGGCTTCCGATCGAGGGAAGATGGAGCAGCCTAAATACAAGGCTTGAGAAACATTCATGTACCAGGAGATCTGACGATAAAACAGAGACGCCGCTAAAGTTAATGAGTCATTATTCCCGAGTCCCTTTTTGTCTTTGGTATTCTGAAACAAACCAAAGCAAAACAAAATGTAACATGGCTCCATTTTTTTCCTGTCCTTTTGCTTCAGTATCGGTTATTCTGACATACCTCTTGCACGTGGCATTTTCTGTCTAATTAAACAATAATTCTAACCTTACTAGGGGCACATTGCATTAACAAAAGTGAGCAGAGGCACAGAAAATCAGTTTGACAGTTCCAGGACTGATTTTTCACTATGTTCCCTATAAAAGCAGGTAGGAGAGGGAAGGTGAAAATATCTGAAATGTCTTAGCTATAAAATAGAATGAAGGACAGGTTATAAATGTGACTCTTCATTTAAATTAATAGCTATTACTCCAAGATTATAAATGACAAAATTTGTCAGCGATCACAGTGGACCGCTGCTTTACTGTCTCCCGGCAATGCTCTTTATGAGCTGCCCTTATTTGCCTGAACAGTTCATTCCTGAGGCACCTTGTCACTTGCTTGGAAGAGTCGTCAGAGGACAGGCCTCTGTTTGAAGGGCTGCTTGTGTTGAGGGACTGTCCGGCAGGAGCAAGAGTTGTCCATCAGCAGTTGCAGTAAGGTGCAGCCATCCGGGATCCCTAATCATGGCCTGTTATGGGATGGTGTGCTGCATTTCTGTTTCAATTCTAGTCATTACTTTTCAATGGGCATCTATCCATATGCATTAGCAAATGATTAGGTGCCCTCTCTTGACCTCACAATTTCAGAGAGAGAGGATGAAGATAAGGATAGAGGATAAAACAAAGGACAGTGCATAGAGAGCCAGTGTGGTGTAGTGGTTAAGAGCACAGGACTGGAACTCGGGCGATCTGAATTCTAGCTCCTGCTCAGCCAACTGGGTGACTTTGGACCAGTCACAGACTCTCAGCCCAGCCTACCTCCCAGGGGTGTTGTTGTGGGGATAAGACTGAGAGCAGGAAGGGGAGAATAATCTAAGCCACTTTGAGTTATTTGAAAGAAAAAAAGGTGGGGTATAAATCTAATTAATTAATGATAACTGGAAGGTTATCATAACCTGAAAGCACAGGGACTCTCATTTCCAGAATGTGGTATGTGCAGAAGAAAGTTCTGGTAATCTCTTTTAAAGATCTTTCAGTTCTTTAAAAAAGAAAAAGGTGGGACATAAATCAAATAAATAAATAAATAAATAAATAAATGGAGCAAAGAAAGCCCTACTGAGTGCTAGAGGGCTTGTGACTGCATTGTTTGGAGGGCAGGCAAGTCAGACCTTCCATAGGATCCTTCTGGATCCCCATGGGAGGAATGAGGTGGACAGATGGGGCAGGAAGGCTGAACAACCCACAGTGATGCACTGTGTCTACCAGATGCACTGTGGGTTATTCACAACCACCAACCTGCCATGGTGAACTGTCACAACCTGCAAATGCATCCACATCCAAATTGTCACAACCTGCAAATGCATTCAGATGAAAATCCTGCAGTTTTCAGCAGTTTGCTCTGCAGAAAGACATTTTAATATGTCCTTAGTGCTTTTGCTAACAACATTGTACTTAGACACACAGTTTGGGGGCTGTTTAGTTTGGGAGAATCCAGTCTCCATCTAGCAACACCATTCATATCACCAGTACTTTGAGAACAGGTTATATTTTCTTGTCAGTGGAGTACTTACATCTTACCAAACCAACACTTTGTAACAGGGTATTGTCAATAGTTCATTGGAAGATGTAATTTAATATCCATTTTAGGTTTTCTAAAAATAATACCTTTATAACATGTTAACTGCTTGTTGAATTCTCTGCTTTAGATTAATTCCAGATTCACGTGCTTTTTCAGCCAGTTTAATTCTGTTCTTTTTTCTATGTTCTATTCAGCTGCAAATCAACAATTTAAAACCCTTCTGCAATTATCGCATTAGTAATTGTGGGTACCCTTAATATCGTTTTTGTTCAGCATTTGCTGCCATTTTTACCCTGGTGAACTCAACTAACTATGTATCACAGAAAATGGTCTCTATCAATCCATTTATGTTATTTTTAAAAAACATCTAATGGGCCTTCTATTTTAAAAAGAAAATAGAGGATTAAAAACCTTTACCCTCTTTTCTCCAGATACTGTTGAAACATTTTTAAAAATGTGAATCGAAAACCTAGACCGACAAGAATTGATTGTATCTTTTTTCCTTATTCCACATTGTGGTCCTGATGCCGCTCCCACAGAAGTCAGTGGGGCATTTGCTGGCCCTCGGCTGTGGGAATGCCTTGCACCAGAAATCAGGAGGACTATGCCTCTTCCCTCGTGCCGAGTGAAATGTAAGATCCTCTTTTTGCAAAAGCCTTCCCTCTGCAGTATTTTTGTGGCTTTGTGTAAGAACCTAGGAATTCTGCACAGAACTTTGAAACCCAAAGGTAAAAATGTACAGTCTGATGGCAGGATAAATTCAGGTGTTGAATTCAGGATGACATGGCCACACCATGGTATCACTGTCTGCTTTGTATGATTTTGTGAACACCCTATACCAATAGGAATAGAAACCTAAATCTTTGATGATCAAAAGTAATTTAGAAATCTAAGGTGATGTAGATAAATGAGACATACTCCTGCAGTTCCTAAGAGTTTTATCTATTTAAGCCTGAAGTCACCAAAAGTATCATCATCATCATCATCACTACAACTACATTTATAAACCACTCCATTCGTCCAGAGGGCTCTCTGGGAGGTGTATAATATTAAAACAAAATAAAAACATTAGCATTAACATTGGAGCATTTTCCTACAAAGCTGTTTAAGATACATTTTCCACACAAATCTTTCTAAAGCAAATTAAATCCTAATAAAAGTGAGTATTATAAATGGCTTAAGTCATAAATTATGGCTCTTACACAAAAGAATATATACTTATTCTGTACTTACCTATACATATAATGTATCCATCAGCTTCATTGTGTGTGTTAGGTGTATTTACTTTGCCCAAAGGAACAGTAAATGAACACACGTTAAGAAACTCAAGCCTATATTCTAATATATATTCCTATATTCAAGCCTATTTATCCTAATCTTGAATTCTGAATTACATGGCCCAATATTGAACGGCTGGCTGATAGGCTAAAACAACCAGATAGTTTAGATAGACATCTATGATCTGGGAATCATGGTCTATAATCCAGCTCACATTTACATCTTTCCTGCTATCCGTTATGGTTTTTATCCATCTCCATACATAACTCAGGAGAAAGTCCCCAGAATAGGGTCCCATCTGCCCAGGTAAACTCTAAGCTCTGTCTCATACCACATTCTGGAAGTGGTGAACACAGGCAATCAAAGATGATCACATGGGCTTGACTTCCTCTGCACTAATAGTTCCCTTGACTTTAGCCACCTTATCTAATGATCTTTAACAAGTCGATATGTTCCTGCTAGTCAACACAAAAGCTGCATCCCCTGGAGTTGTAACAGCACACGGATATGTTCCCCCTAAGCAGAGATTTGCGTAGTCAGTAGCCCACCCTATGCAGACCCAATCCTGTTTGGCAAGACAATTCACCCTGTTCCGTGGGGCTCACTCCCAGGTAAGCATGCATGAGTGTGCAGATTTGTTCCCACCAAAAGTGCATCAGACTTATTTCCAAATAAATGCTTTAGGGTATATTATCCATCAGTACTTTAAACCCAGAGGGTTCTCAAACTTTCGGGAACAGTTCTACCAGAAGAGCTGGACTACAGTACAATAGCTATTCTTATTTAGATGTTATTGTTGTAACCTATTGTGTGGTTCATTTTGGCTCAAGGGAAGTACAGAAATGTATGAAATGATGATGGCAGCAGCAACAATACAGCCAAAATTAGATATTTTAAGTGTCATCAATTACAGTAGAACACAGTATAAACCTAAATCAATGTTGCATTTAAAAAGGCTTCATGTGTGCAGTTTGCACAGTCATGTTCTAATCTTTAACAGACGTCAAGATTTGTTATTAAGATATGTGAATACTGTAATAGCATGTTGCATTTTTTCATTGGGAAAATAGATCTCTCAGATCCCCAAATGTGTATTTGGCTGTTGAAAATATGGGTCAGCCTTTAAATCCAGGATAGCTATTGCATGGCCTTCCAGATGGTTTTGGCCTAATGCTCCCATGATCCCTCACTCTTAGGTCTGCTGGTAGAGGAGACTGGAGTTGCAGGGCAAAATACCTGCAGAGCTACATATCCCCTGCTTTAGGCAATATTAACTCCACCACCCAAACTAAGCATAGGCAGTTAAATAGTTCATTTGGTACCTTTTAAAACATGTGCGTTTGGTGCAGATATGTATAATGCCCTCTGCTAACACATGGGGCTCCCCGTAGTCTCCCATCCAGATGGTGGATCAGGTCCACACCTCCTTCATTCCAGCAATACTTGCAGCTTCTGTAGACCAGATATGGAGCTCCTGTTTAGTGTCGCCTCCATTAACATAGACATAACAGCTTTTGCCCTACCTGATGTGAGGCTAGAATGCATACAGAGCCCCAGGTAAAACCCACCTTGGCTATATCTGCACTTTACTGCCATCTTCTAGATTCATTTCTGCTGTCTAATATATTGCATGCTGTCTTAATGGATTCATTAGGATTCTCAAGTCAATCTAAAGTCTGTCAGTTGCTGCCTTACTTTCTCCTGCTAATGAAATAACCAAATAACCAATTAATCAGTTAATGCTTTTAGCCACAGGAGAAAGCTGGATGTCTTATGTTTATTGATATGCAATTGAATGGGGTATTTCGAATCATGCGCACATGCACACACACGGGCGAGGGGATAAAAGAATGGGAGGGTGAGGGATTAAAAGAATGGGAGAAGCTTCACCTACTTAATTGTTTGAATCCAGATGCTGTTAAAGCAGGGATCCACAAATATTGGCTTGCCTTGTGAGCCAATCATTTACCAAACCCTGCCCATTCCATACGCATAGGACTTGAAGTGGGGTATAATCTGACATCACACTGAGTTTCAGATCCATTGGGAAGCAATGAGGCTGGTCACTGTTTTCAGACTTCTTCAATGGTCAGCATGAAGCTGAAGATGAGACCTTCCCTTCCTCCATGTTTCAGGCCTGGGAGAGGAGTCCATCTCTTTCATGATACTGTGCTGAAACGTCTTGCTGTTTCCTAATACCTCTGATGCCCAGCACCAGGTCAGAGAGAAGTCCCTTTCTATCTCTCACTTCTTGCTGGTGCAGCTGGTCACCAGCCTCTTCAGAGACTCTCCACTGATTACCGTTGCCAACCTGGTGACTGTATTTGTCAGCTTCTCCATTAAAGACACAGTTGCAGAGCCAAATATTGGGGCTGCAGACATTCCAGTGAAAAATTCCCAGTGCACGGATATGCACACACATAACTATTACGACGCTCACTCCAATATACTGCGAGAAACACGAGCATCTAAAATTAAATGTTGCCCGACCAGCAGCCATGGCATTTCATTCCAAGAGCACTTTTGGTCCGTACAAAGAAGAGCGTGGAAGGGGCTGAACAGGCAGTTGGCAGCACTTCTGTGTAAAGCCTGAAGCTTCTCTAAGAAGGCACTGATTCTCATCCAGAGAATTAGGAGCAGGTCTCCTCTGTGCTAAGTTGGGTTTTGAAGGAAGATGAGACAAAAATCTCTATGCAGTGTTACGGGGCTTCATGTTCCCTGGTAGGGTGCTTGTGTGAGCGAGAAAGTGGGGAAGTGGTTTGTTTGGGGACGATCAGCTTCATAGATGTTATTCTCAGCACTATTGAACTTCCCCAAAGAATCTATTCTTCGTGTAAATTCATCTTCATGTTTAAAAAATTGCTGCTGGAAAATAGTAACATGTGCTGAACAAGCAGCAGTTTGGGGATTCCTATTACAGAATGTTTTGCCATGATTTGCCTCTGCGGTGTGTGTGCGCACACCATATCGTTTTTGATCATGTCTTTAGAATAGTCTTCCAATGAAGAATGTCACATGTTGAAAACACTTGCTGTATTGCTGGTCAAATACCCATGCCAAATTCTAATGCTTCCCCTGATCCTTGACTGAACATTGTAAGAAAAATTCAAGGTCTCGCTTTTCCATTTATGGAAAAATCCATGATGAGACAAGAAGGGACGTCTGTATTTTCAGACTGCAATCCTAAACACACTCACGACACAACTGCACGGTCCCGGCTTTGCTTGCAGCCTTGATTAGGAGCTGAGAAGATTGCTGCAACCTCATAGGTGGGGAGCCGTGTTCAGTCCGTGCCCCCTCAGCCAGCACAGAAGTTGCCGGGGCTTCGGGAATGTTATTGCGTGGACAGGGGGAAGGAGGCACTATTCCAAGGCGCAGCACTTGGATGCCCGACCTGGCTGCAACCCTCTTTTGTGGGCTAGGAACAGCATGGAGATGGTCTCTGCTTCTTTGCTGTTCCTGCCCTCATAAAAAAGGATTGCACCTTTCCTGGGATGAGGGCTATGAAGTACTGTAGGGCGTAGCTGTGGCAAAATAGGCCTAGGGTACCATTACACCTCCACTTAAGTAGTCATCATCAGGAGAAGAGCCTGATACACCAAGCTGCAGGGGTGGTAGGTACCTGGGAGGAACACATGCTAGCAGTGGTGAGGAGGCTGGGTCCTCAAGGGAGAATGAGGAAGGAGGACAGAGTCCTAACCTCCGACTGGGGCCACATGCCTTGAGAAGAGAAGACTGAAGGGGACGAGATATCCCTCTATAAGTACCTCAAAGGCTGGTCGCAAAGAGGAAGGTCAAGCTCTCTTCTTGCTGACGCCAGAGTGTAGGACATGGAATAATCAGTTCAAGTTGCACCAACCCAGATTCAGGCTGGACATCAGGAAAAGCTTCCGCACTTTCAGTGCAGTACGACAGTGAAACCAGCTGCCTAGAGAGGTGGGAGGCTCTCCCACACTGGAGACATTGGACAGCCATCTGAGTGGGATGGTGTAACGTGGTGTCCTGCAACAGCAGGGGGTTGGACTCAATGGCCTTCATGGCCCCTTCCAACTCGACTATTCTATGATTCTATGAACACCAATACTTTAAGAGAAGCATTCACATGCTCCCTCTCTGCATGCCAGGCCTTTGAGAATGGCTGCAGCTGGGGACATGGTCATGCCCAGTGGGCTAGAACTCCCTACAAATGTGTACACAACATCCAAACTTGCTCTGGCATCTTCAGCCTGACTCAGCTTGGGTGCCTAGACTGGCCCCCTCTGAATGACATTGGAATAACCCTTGGCGATGCATTTCCCTTGCTTATTGGCTTACTCCGACCATCCCCTGCAATCTCTTGGAACACCTCATACCTGTAATGCCAAGCCAGTCATGATTGAGTGTTTATTCCTAGGCTTATCTATACTATTAAGTAGTTGGCCAAGTTCCTGGCTCATTACATGGACACTCACTGAGGCTGGCTGTAAATCAGGACAGGTACCATACCTGTGTGTGCTGACCTGACAATAAGCCCTACTGAATATAGTCAGGCTAACTTTAATCATGCCAAGCATTATGTGTTGCATCTGCAACAGCTTCCCTCAACTTGGCTGTCTCTAGAAGTTTTGAATGACACCTCCCAGCATTCCTGACTATTGATCATATTTTCTGGGGCTGATGGGAGTTGAGGACATGAGGTTGAGGATGGCTGACCTTGTTCATAGGTAATTCCCTGGACAAAGATGCATTTAACCATGCTAAGTGCCATCTTAAATTTTACTGTTATACTGCTAAATTATATTGTTTTATATTATGTTATTTATTTATGATTGTGAGCTGCCCCGAGGCTTCGGTGAACGGGGCGGCATAGAAGTCCTCTAAATAAATAATAAATAAATAAATTCTGCCTTCCTTAGACAGCACATTACAGCAGATTTTCTGTGTCTTCTTTCTCTAGGCACTTCCTGTTTAAGCATGGATCTGGTTCTTCGGCAATCTTTAGTGCAGCAAGCCAGAACTATCCCTTAACTTCCAATACCGTTTACTCGCCACCTCCCAGGCCACTTCCTAGAAGTACTTTTTCTAGACCTGCTTTTTCATTCAACAAACCTTATAGATGCTGCAACTGGAAGTGCACTGCCTTGAGCGCGACAGCCATCACCGTCACCCTGGCATTGCTGCTCGCCTACGTGATCGGTAAGTGTGGTGCAGTGTGCTGTGTTTCTCTCCATCTGTACAGATGAGCATCATGTGGGACAACTGAACGTACACTCCTGGCCATATCTATACAGAACTGCCTTTCTCTGAGTTCAGGGAGGAGTGAGCCCGGAGGAGCGTGAGTAGGTTTGCAGCATGTGTCTGCTGCTCCGGAAATGCTGTGTGATGCCCCTTGTGGTCATGGAAGCAGAATATGCTCACAGCCCTCCTCACTCCCTCTTTCCAGGCAGCTTGTCTTTCCTTCCTTCCTTCCTTCCTTCCTTCCTTCCTTCCTTCCTTCCTTCTTTAAATTTTCTGTATGCCATCCAATATCATATGGGGCAGGTGGGCTTAGCTTCTCCCACCCTTCATTGGTTCCCAGATCAGGGAGTGAAGGTGAGACCTGCTTCTTCCTTGTTCTCCCAGCCCACATACTGTACTCTCTTGTGGGAGACTGGGTAGCAATACAGGCATTAGCAGGAACAACTGGACCTTGCCTGGCACAGCAGGTTCCCATCTGGCAAGGCAAGCTCTTTCAGGATCCTGGACAGGACACTGCCTGAAATTGATCCACCAAGGGCCGTTGTCTCCGCAGTGTGCAAGGGCCTTCCAAAGCTTTCTGAAGGCTGGCAGATGTGGAGCTGCTGCTAACTCTGCCTCCTCTGGCAGAGCAGAGGAGCAGTCTATTTTTTGAAGGTCATCTGATTCCACAGTTGCTGCCTCCTATGAGGTGGAGGTATGAGGTCACAGAATCAGTTACTGGATGAAGCTGACCACCCTCTGAGTTCTCTGCATGAAAAGGCAACTGAGGTTGAAGCACATGAAGCCTGCCATATATAATACAACATATGGCAGAGCCTCCTGGGAGGCAGTCATCTCCTGGTGAGATACCCGTGCCTTTTCAAACCCGCCTCTGCCCCCATTTTGCAACCAGTATGGAAGATGGGAAGTCATCCAAATTCTGGGCATGTTCTAAAAGAAATGTCCCAAATTGTTACGTTTCAAATGTAGCTTCAAGAAGAATTGATGCGAATGGAGACTTGTTTCTCTTTCTGTTCTCTTCTCCTAGTTCCTTCTCTGTCATGCCAAAAGATCAAGGAGAAAGGGCTTAGGAAAAGCTGGTTAAATAAGGAAGTCCATAAAATTAGATTGAGCTGGAGTATATAGAAAGTACCTTTGCTCTAGCAGTACTAGAATTGCTACAGAAGTTGGTTGGCGACATATTCGAGGGAAGACAAAGGAATAACATCACCCAGTACCCAATTTACTCATGGGATTCGGGAACAGAAGAGGAGATTATGCAATTTGTTAAGAACTTAATGGATTCATGGAGGCTAGGTATTCCAATGGTTATCTTCATGTTAAGAAGATGTATTTGATTAAGAACATAGAAAAGCGCCTTATAACAAAGCCTTTATTTATTTATTTTAAACACTTCTATGCCGCCCCCATCGCAACAAAGCCTCAGGGCGGCTCACAACAACCTTTAGAACCACCAGGGAGCGGCTGCAAAATTTCAAGCATCTTCAGAAACTATCAGCTACTCTAAAGTTTGCACCCAGAGAAAGTAATGAAGGTCATAGCAAAATCCAAACAAAGTTGTCATCGTCAGTGTGTTAAATATTCATCTAATCCTATCAATCAGTTCAGGTATCTCTCAACATTTTAATTAGGTTCCCATTGTTATTGTTGCTTTAATCACCGAAGTTGCTCGCATCAATATTATTTCTAACATGTAAATATGCTTCAAAGGAGTGTGGCAAGGCTTGGTCACTGTGAATTGATCTGGAATATTGAATCCAAAGTATAAATAAACATTGACTTAATTCATAGAATGAGCAGTGGCCCTGGGAGGATGGCAATTACATGCGTTCTCTTGTACCCACTTTCATGGGGACCAGTAGCCTGATTCTTACGCTTTTATCTGGGAACACACTTTTCTGCATCTTTGCACAGAGTATCTTTGGTCTTCATTTGCTATGTCCCTCTCAAAACTGGTGTGAAAAGGAGCTGCTGTTTCGTGATGTTGGCTATTAATTGTTTTACTAAGTCTCTTTGCTGCTGTGAAAAAATTAGAAAGCAAAAGGTTACTTTCTAATAGTTATCTGGTCCATCCCCAACACATGTTTTAGCTAGTACTGTAAACACATTTTTTCTCAAATGACCACATTTGAGGTCAGTGTCATATTAATTACACAAAACTAAACAGTCAGGAGAAAGCAGTCTGCAGGCACTGTTAAGTAGTACATTAAAGGTATGGGCAGATGGTTGTGTTTGAAGCTGCATAGGGCACTTACTGCTGTACAGAGATGTATCAGGACCACGGAGAGAGAGTTTTGTGCTTTTGTTGGTTTGTTTCATTTTTTTGCTGCCCAATAGCCAGGGCATTCTGGATGGTTAACAGAAATTAAGAAACATGCACCCACAAACACACACACACACACACACACACACACAGAATTAACATAAGACAACAAGACCAAACTATCAATTGCAATACAGGGTGCCACAACCAAAAAGGCCCTCTTCCAGATAGGCAGGAGGGCCCAGATTAAGCTTTTTCAGGACTGGCTTAGTTACAGCCTCTTCTGAAGCCTCTCTCAAGGAGGCCTTTACACCCTTCTGGACTCAAGGAGAAATCCCTTCCTTGATTGTTGTAATGAGCAATGGCGGACAAGGGTCAAGCACACAGGTGGTGGGAATGAATTGATGTTCCTGGGAAAGAGCCCACCTCCATTATGCTGTGTGTGGCTTAAGCCCCTTCCAATGGAAACTGCAGTGTGGGGATAAGTATTTTAAACCACAGCACAGGAGGACGGGTTAAGTACTCCCCTGTCCCAGCAGTTGCTCTTACCTTTGGGCAGGAAACCAACATTCACGTCGATTGCTTTCACACAGCTAACATCAAGACTAGTTTGCTCCGAGATGCGCATAGCTTATGGCATTTATGGTTAAGACCCCAGCGCCAGGTTGTTAGTTTGTTTGTTTATACATTTGTGCAGAGTTGGCCAGGACACAAACTGCAGATTTTCGAAGATCCCTAAGGATAATCTAGTTCAATCCAGTATTGAAACTGAGGTGGGATTTGCTGTGCACAAACCAAATCTTTATCCAAGCTCTTCATAAAATGATCCAAGAAAAGTAATTCTCCATCTTCCCCAAGCACCTTGCTGTATTTGACTAACTCCTCATTTGGTTAAGATGTTTTATCTGATCTAAAATTACTTCTCTGTAGTTTAAATCCCTTTCATGTGCCTGTCTTGTAGTGCAAAGAAATTTATCTCTTTTGTGGAAATCTTTTAAGTATTTTAATGCTTTGAATCCAATTTCATCTTAAAAATATGCCTTGTCTAGTAATGTAAATATAGGTCTACCCAGCTGGATGGGGGGGAAATCATACTGTTAGGGCTGCTGTCTAATTAAATGCATTGTAGTTGGTTAATCATATGATTTAATTAATTGTATTAGCGTGCATTTGTGTATTATGAAAACAACAATTCTGAAACAAAAGGCATAACTTTGCTGTCTTCCAGGTATGGTGAGAATTTCCAGGGGAGGCTGGCGAATTCTGTGCTTTTGGGGATCTTTAGCCATAGCAGCTTTTATGTTGTGCTTAATTGGGGCTGTCCATTATGTTGAACTCCATCCTCCCAAAATGTGTTCACCAGCATGGAGCACCATGGAGAGATCCTGTAAATCAGTGGATTAGGCACCCAGTGGACACATGAGTCACCAGTTCTCTCCCCTGCCACCCTGGATATCTCTAGGAAAATGTCAGGCCAGGATGTGCAACCGAGGATGTGGATTTTGCAAAAAGGCAAAAGGTTCTGAGAAGAGAAACCTGAATGAGAGCAAGGTCTCCTGTGAGGAAAAGTCACTTTTGGAACTCTTCACCTGGGGAACAGATAAGAGGAACATGATATAAATGATGGCTGGTATGGAGAGTGGAGAGAGTGACACATTTCTTCCTCTCTCATAATACTAGAATGCTTAATAATAGAATCTGAGGTCTTCCCTTCTATGGGAGGTAATGACTGACTGATTTTTACACAGCATGATTGCTGCCAACTGGGATGAAAGGGGATTAGGCAGATGACTGGGTCTCCCGAGCTGCAGTCCAACACTCTAACCACTGTGCCACCTGGGCTTGCTCAGGCCAGTCCTGCTCCTTATATGCTTGCCATGGGCCAAATGACTTGCATATACTATGCATTATTTTATGACAGTTATTATCTGCATTTTATTATCACATAATCCCATGGTGGAGTACAAGCAACGAAACAGAGTAAGCTAAAATACGGTAGGCATGTCATGAGCGGAGCTGGAGGTTAGACTAGAGGCCCAGGAGGGCCCTTCTGACTCTCTTTGTTTCTATGTTTCTAAGCTTTTTGAACACCCCCCAGAACCACCACTCCCTGAAAGTAAAATCAGACAGAGCAGAGCAGTTCTCTTTTCAGTTTAATTTTCACTCGTTCATCAGCCTGAGCAAAAATGCCAGCCCGACTCCAGGGAGGCACTTTGGAAGCCATCTTGTGGGTTGTTCAGAGACGGTCATCCCCAGTGCTTATTTTTGGGGGACAGGAGGGGACTAATTACTTAGTTTTTCCTTTGAAGCAACTTTTGGCCACCAGCATAAGGGGCAGAGGTGGTGGGAGAGCTCGTTGCAGCCCTCCCACACACCAAAGCCTCCCTCAGGATTGTCCCCCTTGATGACATGGCAACCTTTTATGGCAGCATTTTATGAGGGGAATGGAAGATGCCCAGAGGAGCTTTCCCGTCATGTGTATCCTTCTCGCACAAAAAAGGAAAAAGGATTAAAAAGAAAAGAAAGAAACCACTAAAGGGGAAAGGAGCACTGCAGCCACTACCTGATAAGCCGAACACACGCACTCATCAAATTGCTAGTCATTCACCATCCAATTAGTCATTCACCACCCAATTAGCCCATGTTTTTGTGCACCCCCAAATAATCCCTGCCATTTTGAGGCACACACTCTCAGCAGACAACTTTCCACGCAGCCTAATTATCTGGCTGCAGTTGCCTTTCCTTGGTGGGAAGGCATTCTTTGATATGCCTCTGGCAGCATTGGGAGGCAATTGGCAATGCCCTTTCAGGTCTCCTAGAGCTGAGCTGTGCACAGTTCTCAGACTATCCTGTTTGCTTCTCTCTCGTCTGTGGAGCATGTTGTTTGTAACGTTTGGCTGAGAACTGATGGGAGGAAAAGAGTGGGTTTGTCTTGTAGACAAGCAAACCTGGATAAACAAACTGAGTTTGCAGGAATGCAGTATGCTGGTGACATTTCCCAGCTGTATTTTCTAAACGTACGGGAAATTTAATATGATACTGTGCTCATCTCACCCCCCTCACACAAACACACACACACACACACCAGGTAACCACCTCCCCCATTCTCTGTAGGCTTGATAAATATATACCATGCTCCTCCACCCTTATATTTCAGCCAACTTGCATATTTCACTTACTGCCAAACTTTACAGAACACAAGTTGACAAGCTGTGCTTACACAGAAGGTAGATAAGAATAAATTCAATTTAATCATTGGCTTTGTAGCAGATGGTGGGTTAATCCAGTTTACAACATGTAATCTGAAATACACACACACCATGTACAGTTCTGCACTTCCTTTAGCTATATGACATGAAGTGTAAGATAAATAATCAGTCATCTTAGACCTAATAGGGCACCTCTAGTATTTAATTTAAATAGCAGAATTCCTGTATTTACTTCTGTTTTCAAGCTCTAGTGCCCATACTCCAGGTGTATTATTCTGTCTCATTGAGAGTCAAGCAACCCAATCCTGCCCTAGAAAGCTGGTAGAAGAATTTGGGATGCTCTTACTCCTGAAGGCATTACTGAGGATGAAGTGGGTCTGGGAAGAAGCTGGTGCTCATCCTTTGAGCTCCATCATCTCCACCGAAGTCAACAGCTGCCTGAGAAACCCTAGGAGAGCTCTCCTCAACCAGTTCCTCTCCAGGACTGTAACTCACATGATTCCTAGGGATATGTCATCCCAGTGGGAGAACTTCTGCATGATGTGGGTTTGTTGAAAGCTGGCTTGTTCTCCCATTTGAAGCCATCCCTAAGAACAAATCATGATCTTTTGACCATGTGCAAACCACCAACCAGAGTCATGGTTTACTGTTGGCCTACAGTCTAGTTTGTTTAAACCATGGCTTGTGGTGATGCCAGAATGCAGAGCACAGCTTATCCCTGGCTTGTTTGCAGTGTTGTCTGCCCTGGAACAGAAGCAAGTCAGCAAGAACTGCCTGAAAATGAAAATGTTCTGTGAAAGGGTCAGAAAGACACAAACCAGAAATAAAGGAAGCAAGCCCCAGCTTGTTTGCTTACCTGCAGGACAATTGACAGCTCAAGCAGCAAAGTGTGGTTCACATAATCATTGGCACAGTGTTATTGTGTAAGCCAAACTGGGGTCTTGTGACTTTCTTCCTTGGCTAGGAATTTTTGCCTTAGCAGCTGCATGCAATCTGCCAGAGCTGCCTGTTCAATGGGAGCCATGGTTAGGCAGCTACAAGGACAGAGCCTGCAGCACTCTCCAAAATGCCTTTACTTTTATTATCAGACCCTCCTGATCCCATTCATGTGGAATCATCTGATTTCAGCAGGGTTGTGCTAAGGACCAGACTACACTTGATGTTAACTCAGCCTTCGTTCCTGCCCTGCATGTCATTAAACCTATCAGGCTGTGGCATCCGATAATTACTGGGGTCATGGCAGTGGCAGGGGGGAGTTTTTAACCCTTCCCTCCCCTGGTGCAGTCCTGAGGAACTTATCTTTTCTGTGACTAATACTTGCATTGGCAAATAAAAAGTTCCCATCAGAGAATTCCATTTGTTATTTTTACTGTTGCTTTCAATGCCACGTGTAGCAGGACGCTGATTTCTTCACGTGATCCACACCACCCGTAGCTGCAGTTCTTTGCCATGTGCTGCCAAGTCATCAACCTCCTAACAATTGTGTTTTCTGATGCCCTTTGAACAGGCAGCAGAAATCCTATTAGAAACATTTCATTCATTCATTCCTTTAAAGCTTTTACATACCATCCCATTACTGGCTTCTTGGGATGGTTTACAACAAGCACAAAATAAGATAAAAATGGTACAGCATCCACTGATAAATATAGAAACCACAATTAAGACCAATTGACAATTAAAATAATGGGAAAATTAAAAGGTTTTCACCTTGCACCAAAAAGAAAAAGTGTGGGCGCCAAGCAAACCTCTCTGGGGCACTTGTTCCACAGTCAGGGTGCCACCACAGAAAAGGCCCTCCTCTAGGTAGCCACCCTCCTAGTATCTTTCAAAGAGGGCTCCTGAAGAAGGACCTCCACCTCAGGTCTCAAGGGGTGGGAAGGCAGGTAGGGAAGAAGGCACTCCTTCAGGTATCCAGGACTCAAGCTGGATAATTTTTATACCACCCAATAGCCAAAGTCTCCCTTACAAAACATTATTCATTTTAGATGTTTAACATGTGAGTAGGTAGCACACAGTTGCAGGAATTCTGTTGCACAAGCTAATCAACCAGCCATCTCTTCTTCTCAGTTGCTTTATTCTATCCCTCCTTTCAGCTAGGTTATCCGTCATCTGCAGACACACAGTGGCCCAAGCCCACTAAGTATATCTTTGGTGGGGCAAGGGCATTGCCATTTAGGTTTGCTTCTCTTCCTGAAGATTGAGTCTACTTCTGCAGAACTTGGGTCTCCTCCATGGCACACTGACATCCTTCTCTTGTTTCTCAGCGGCTCCATTTTCACTACAATGGTATTGCTACTCACCCCCAGATTTTGTTATTAGTGAACGTGATGGACCTAACTGAGAATAATAATATTTGTGTGCAGTGAAAATAACTCTCTTTCTGCAACAGAAGGACGTTTGAAATCAGGAACAAGCTGACTTCTAGGACAGATTGACTTGACAACTTTCATCCTTTTGTCACCATTCTTATGAAGGCTTAGTTGGCTGGAAAAATTCTTAAATGCCAAATCATTGTGTTTCAGTACCATAAGTAAATATATGTATTATAACAAAGAGCTTACTTCGTTTCTCCAGTATGGTGCATCTTTGTTGCTTTCGCTCTTTTTAACGTGCTTTCGTTTAAATGATACAGGCAAATTGTGTCTGTGTTTGAAGGGATCCCACCACAGTGCATTGGGCTTGCCATGCAATTTTACGACAAGCACCATTCCTAGAATTGTGGTTCTTAAGTGCCGGAAGCTATTCTTCTCTCCCTGTTTCCCGAGCTCAAGCACTGTAATTCTGAGAAGCTGCTTCTGGGAAGCACCTCCTGCCCAACCCCAGCATATTTTCTGGTATGTCAGTATATTGAGAGCAATCTGACACAACGATCCACAAGAAAACTTTGAATTCAGTGACTTTGCCATTGTGAAAGAAAGCAAACACATGCTCAGACTTAATCCACATACATTTTGAAAAGCCCTGCCTTGCCCTGCTCTGACTGCACACTCTTAATGAGTTAATGCAGAGTGAAAGCACAAACTCTGCTTTGCCTATTTAAATCAGGGCTGAGATTTGCAGCTCAAATGCTTTAGGAAATAGGGTGATGCTGAACCTTCCTCCCAGGTCAGGAGTGGGCAGTGAAAGGCATTTCCAGCCCAGTTCCCACCCCCCACTATGAGCGTTGCTCCCCTGCCTCTCCCCCCACCAAAAGGGCGAAGGGTTAAGAAGTTAAATCTGTCCATTCGGAGGCATCATTCTAAACAGCTACTGTGGCTTAGAATGTCACTATTCAAAGGAGATAAGCAGAAAAACCTGAAATTAATGTATTCTGAATAAATTTTCAAAAACTTGTCAAAGGATCATACCATTGCATTGTTTTCCCCACCCACCCCCAACCCATTAAGGGCTGCACTTTGGTGCTACTTCCATGCCACAGAAAGAGGGAGCGAGCTAAATTGGTCCATTCTAAGCCTTCTCAATATTATGCTATTGAATTTCAGCAGTGAAATATGACTTTTCCTCACTTTCTGTTTAAAACACAATAGAAGCAAGTGCAGAGTAATGCATGTTGAGGGGAAAAATCTCAACTTGAATTTGAAGTCTCAGTGATGGAAGGAACTTCAAATTTTGGAGGAGAAGGAGGAGGAGACAGAAATGAAAGAGAAAGAAGAGACAGAGACAGGGAGGGAGAGGGAGAGGGGAGAATAAATGGAGGAGGAGGAGAAATCAATAGTGAAAATTCTGTAAATCCCACTACACTATTTTTAATTTTTAAAAACCTTGGCCACCTTTTAGGGCAGGAGTGCTCCCAAAGAGGTGTACCTTTCCACTGCACACCCAAAACTTCTCCTCTCCAGTCGTGACCAGCTCGTTTCAATTTGGCCAGCTTTAGGTCGGTAGAGTGTACAGTTTTCCACCCCAGATACAGCATTCTAACTTCCTCTGAAGTCTCTTACATGCAAAGCCTTTGTCCTTTGAAGTGAAAGCATTTCTGTTAATCACTGGGGAAATTCATCATCCAGTTCTGGCTGAACTCCAAAGAAAAATGTGGAATCTAATTAAACATTTCGGTTTAGGATGAAATTAGCATACGCAGAGTTTCAGTGCAGTTGAAACACAGCCGTGCGATAACTGACTTTTGTAAAAGTGGTCCTGCTACCTTCTTCGTTCACTCAGTGGTGGACATGAAGTAATGGCTGTTCTTTTCTCCGTCTTGCTGATTCACGCTTCTCTTTCTCTTTCTTTCACAGCAGTGCATTTGTTTGGCCTAACTTGGCAACTGCAGCCTGTTGAAGGACAGTTGTATGAAAATGGACTCAGTAAGGGAGGCAAAGGCACAGAGTCTGTGGACACGACCTACTCCCCAATCGGAGGAAAGGTTCCCGATAAAACAGAAAGGAAAGGTATCTCTCCCCACGCTTTCTCGCCCTACTCACCCTTGCACTCAGAATGCAGTGTGCAAACCTATTTTTCCCATTTTGTTCAGTTAATGAAAACTACTTTGTACAAGCACCAATTACATACTCCATCCCTTATTACCGTTTTTTGGGGTTGGGGTTCGGTTCAGTTTGGTTTTAGCAGACACCTGACTTTGCTTTAGATTAAGTTGACAATCCCGTTCAGATGCTCAGCTCCTCTTGTGATTGCAGGTGTGAAAGGGCAAGGCATCCTCTCCAGCTTTCAGCATATAACCTGCTTTCTTAATGAAGAGGGATTATTTAATTGTTTGGTGCAGTTTAATTATTGCATTGTTGTATTTGTATTTTTGTATTGCATTTGTTTTCTTATTTGTTTTCCCTTAGAGCATCCCTGGTTATCCTCTTGTTCCCTCTGAGCTTAGCTGTAATTCTTGTGGTTGCTGAAGGGTGGTTGTGTATTGTTCCTAATTTTAATGCAAAAAAATTGGTGTGGTTTGGTCATGAACCAAATCCGAGACCTGTTAGATTTACTAAGTGTGTGCTTCCAGCAGGGATGAAACCTGCTAGAGCTGATTTGTTAGTAAGGATTGATCAGGCAGTCATCTGATGGGATGGTGTAATTTAGTGTCCTGAAATGGCAAAGGGCTGGACCTGATGGCCTCCTGGCCCCTTCCAACTCTATTACTCTGTGCTGCTATGAGAATTTTGGGACTCCTCCAGGCTGTGGCTGTAGCAACTCTAAAGAGAGCCTGCATGTTCAAATACGCCACTACACCAATGTTTTTATGTTGAGTTCACCAATTAGTTCTTTTAGTATTCTTGTTATTAAAAAGGAAAGCTTTGTCAGCTCTTGCGTTGACCTGTCCAGAGATGCTCAGCAGAAATGTATATATAATAACCTGGTTATATTTCCAATAACTTGAGAAAGGATCATATCATGATGCTGATAAACCTGTTGCATGGCTTTCCCAGCACCTCTCCTTCGCCCTGTAAATTCCTGAGTCACAAGCTGATCGTCATGGTGTGAAGAGGAGGTTTTTCCCGCTGTTTTCCCCCTTTGCTTACTGAAAGCATAATGGTGCAATGATGAACTCCCTGCAGATACACTAAGCCTGTATTTGGCTTCTAACCCTCACTTGGATTGCAGAACTGAATCAGAGGCCAAGAGAGGCATATCCTGCCCTTCTGATACTCTCCTTGAAGTGTTCTCTTCTGAACTGACTATATTTCTCCCCAGCCTGTCTCCCAAACAGGGCATGAGCCCAATTAAGGGAGAGACAGGCTTCCATATAGCCTGAAGTGCCAGATCCTGCCTAATCTTGGAAGCTAAGCCGGGTTGAGTCTGGTTGAAATCTGGGTGGTGACTTGCGTTGTGAACCGCACAGAGAGTTTCAGCAGTGGTTGGTGTAGAAATGTAATTCATTACTAATAATAATCATAATAATGAAGAATTTACATATGGAAATCGGAGGCATAAGAAGGGTTAAGCACCTTCTTGTCCACATTCGTATCACCTTGGGAAATAAGAGTTTAGGGTTTCCTGATATGATATATGACTCTTCCCTTGATCATATCAGGATCTATTAAAATGTGTGTTGCATCTTCCAGGGGAGAAAACTGCCACATACCTTTTATCCAAGCCTGTATATTATTACCTCCAAACTTAGACCTTCTAAGAGATTAGACACTCTCCAGTGTTTCCTTCAGCCTCTGTAATCCCTTTTGTTTTGAAGAATTCGCCATGTTGAAGAAAACTCTGCTGGACTTTCTGGGAAATGTCCCTCTCTTGCATTCACAGCACTTGATGGGTGCTTTGATTGTTATTCCAAATACCTCTGACAATCTGGCACCATTGATCGTTGTGGGACACTATATATCTTCAGTGTAATAAAGCAGGAAAGCTGCTTGGGGATGAATTCAGAGTGGGGCTCATGGAACGGGGTCCTGCACATTTCAGTGGCTTGCTATTGTGGGGGAAATAAAGTTGTGCCATTGCAACACTGGCCTTTGCTTCAGCACCATGGGCAGGGTCAGTCACTTCAAGGTGGCAACAGACAAAGCTGAGCCCAGTCCCTGGTTCAGCCACCCCAGCCTCACCAACACAGACTGGCAGCAGCTTTGCCAAAATTTCGGGCAGGTGTTTCTCCAACCCTACTGGAGCAGCTAAAGATTGGGTGCATGACCTTTTGCATGCAGAGTCTGAGTGCTTCCCGGGCATTTCAGAGCCACTTGGCTCTATATTTTAATAAGTTGCACTGTGATTTTTAAAAACCCAGACTTTCTGTTGATGGCTGGTATTTACCAGAAAAGCATAATGAGATTGATTGTTTCAGGAATCAGCGATGATCAGCACATGGGTGCTCCCCTGTGAAGATAATTGGTGCTTCACAGCTCGGATTTTCAATTTCTTGGAGCTGTGAGAGACCAGTGATTAGGAGCCTGTCTTTGCTGAAAGAACACTAGAAAACGACACACACAAAAAGCAGAAAAATACATTTGTAGCAGGAATGCATTTTAATTTTTTAAAAATAGTCTTTAAAGTCATGGACAAGTTGCGTGGAAGGAGTGGGAGAATGCCCGGAGAATAATAAACGGGGCTGTTTCTGAAGGCTGTTCACTTGTGAGAAGCAGCATTTCCATTTGTCCTGCATCAGTACAGAAATATCAGGCATGGACGTTAATCCTAAGCGAGCTTGGCAAGGAGAGAGGCTGATGGATAGAGCACATGCTTCTCTCTGGGCATGTTCAGCCTGAAGAAGAGAAGACTGAGGCCATCATCATCATCATCACCACCACCACCACGATCATCATATTCACTCTTTATATACTGACATCTGGACGAAGTGGTTCTCTGTGATCCTTCACAGAATTCCTTTTTGGCCAGTCAGATTAAAGCAGGATTATTTTGTCTCAGCCACAGCAAAGCGCAATCATGCGGTCATCTCCTTATTTTATCTATAGCCCATCTTTTTGCCCCTTCCAAGGAATCCGAACATAATCTTCCTCTTCTCCATTTTGCTTTCACAACCACCCTGTGAGGTAGGCTAGGCTGCGAGTCAGTGACTGGCTCAAAGCCACCTAGAAAGCCTCTTCACTGAGTGGGGACTAGAACTGACTCCAACTGGTGTGCCACACCGGTTGTCCGGACCAGTACTGGTTGGACTGGATTGAATGCACTCTCCCAGTGTGAGAAAGTTGCATGAAAAGTAGCATTTTATAGTACTTTTATCCAACTCTTTAACCCCAAAAGACTCTTAGAGCAGCATATAAAATCAGCCTCACAAAGAGGTTTACCTGGAGCCATTTCTTCACTCTTTTCAGCACCAGACCAAGATTTTATTTACTCAGTATTACAATTGTCTGGATAATTTTAAAGATTTGTTGTATTTTATTGTAATTAATTATATTTTAGTGCTATTGTGTCTTTAGTGGTTAAGGTTATAGGGAGGTCATTGTGAGGTTTTGTTGCAGGTGTTTCTGTGATGATGGTTGTGATTTTATTACTGCTACATTTGTTAAATCAACATTACTTATTTTATTGTGTGCTTGCTGTTTCATAATACGCTTTGTAGTCTGCCCTGAGAGCCATTCTGATAGAAATCCTATAAACAAATAAAAGCTGGGTGGCCCATGATGTTAGGCTTACAATCTTGAAAGGGCCGATGCAAAAGGATCAAGGGATGGGGAAGACAAGGAAACTCTGGTGCTGATTCCCCATCTCACAAAGCTCTCTTGAAAGGACCTGCTGTAGTGCAGCCCGGTGTTGCTTGTCATCTTATCCGGATCAGCTAGAATGCAAAGAGCTCAAAGAAAAGGCAAACAGGGCTGCTCTTGCCACTGGCTTCGTCCCTCTCTTGTTGCGGGGGAAGCAGAAAACCTGATAAAACCAGCTGCCAAGGAGGGCTGATGCTGCCCCACGTTCCTTCACCACCCTTCTTCTGCAGCCTCTTGGACAGGCCTCTGGGCGCAGCTTGATCCATTCCCTGTGGATGGGATTACCTAGGAAATTAAGCTGTGTTCCTATTATGCGAAGCAGCACGTAGATGATATTTATGCATTTTGCTTTACAATTATGGAGTATTCAGCCTTACCGTAAGAGGGTGAATGATGGACAGCTCTGCCAAGAAAGTAGCATTTCCACAAGAGCATCGTGTCATGCCTGAATAATATTATCTGATGCTACAATATGCATCTCCCAGAAGAAACGGGTCTTTCAAGCATCTGCAGAAAGTACGGCAGTTGCAATCTCATTTAAAGGCCATCAGCACTGGCCAGCATCACCATTCCCTTTAAGTACCTTGCAGTGCCCTTGACCTTAGAGTTACTGTGCTAAGACAATGTAATTGATTCTACTTACTGTATGTCAATATCAGCAAAAATATCTTCCAGCATTTTACTTGGCCTGACAGGTAATGGCTTATAAAAAGTTTGTTTTAAGTCAATATCTGAACTGTCTTTGGAGCTGCAGAGAGGTATGTATTTCTGGAGGGGTTTTCACAGGGTCTTAATTTGACCTGGGGCTGTAGAGAGGGTGGGGCAGCCTACAACATTCATTTGCCCCACCTATTTTTCTTTCAGCAGGCCTTTTAATTCATCACAATACAGGGTCCACTTTAAAAGAAAAGGGTTTTACAGTAGGGAAGTAACTAATTCACATTACTGACTGTTTACACCTTCACAGAAAGTGGTGATACTCCATAATTGGTGAAGGCCCATTCATTTCTTCTCTGCCCAGAACGGACTTCCCATGCATTTCTCCTTTGGAAATATAATAGCCCAACCAAGTGAGCAAGGCCACTGGAGCCATGTTCGAGCCAGAGCTCAGAAGTCCAGAGGTTAAACTAGGGAAGGAAGGAAGACTAAGAAAGCACCACCTCTCAGGAGTCATGTGGGAGTCTAGATGGAGGTCTTGGGGAGGACTCATGGCATGCTGTGCTGGGATTGTAGGGTGGAGCCTCCTCACAATCATGATAAGTATCAGGCAGGGAGAAAGAAAGGCAGGAGAGCAGTGGGAGAGGAGGCCCTGGTTCCTGGCAGTGGCAACAGCATGCAGTTGTGGTCATTCTTCTTCTCTGGTACCTTCCAAGAACATGCAAGTCAAGGATTCTTCCCCAGGAACACTGCTCAGGCAGAGACACTGCTCATATGGTTTCCACCCCTTCAGTGCAGCCAGGAATTGCTTTGCATTTCCTAACACTTCACATTTCACAATATTTGAGATGTGTGTGAAGCCAGTGGTTGCCTTCAGAACATTCAATATGTTATGGACTTGCAGGTGGCTTGAACCAGGGCGCTGTACTCCAACACCGAAATTCAGGATTGTAGCACTGAGGTTAAACTGGGATGAGGGGGGCGACTGGAAGAGCTTACCCATCTCATCTCAGAGAGACACCTGACCATAGGTTAGGTGAATGGCTGAGAATTCTTCCTCTGGAATCTAAATATCTCACAATGTTTACATTTTGGGATTCTCTTGTGGCATTTCTCCAGTCACTGGAGATATTCAAACCATCATTTATGTAACTGCAAAGCTTCCTTGCAAATGTGTGGGCTTATATTTTAGCTAACAACCAGGTTTGCCGTCAGTAATTTAATCTATATTGAATAATAAACTGTCCTTCCTTGCTCTTAAATGACAGCTAACTTTTTTCCCCTTTGTTTCTGGAGACATCGTGTTTCAGAAAGGACAGGCAATAGACACAGGGGAAATTGAAATTGGCGATCAGGTGATGCAAACTATCCCACCAGGCCTTTTCTGGCGTTTCCAGATCATGATCCATCACCCGATGTACCTCAAATTTAATGTTTCACTTGCAAAGGATTCCTTGCTCGGGATTTATGGCCGACGCAACATTCCTCCCACTCATACGCAGGTATTTTTAATGTATTGCATTGTTTGAATTAGTTGTTTCATGGATGAATTATATTTTCAGAGAGAGAAGTAAATGCGTATTTCCTTATTAATTTTAGTTCTATACCACCCAGTAGCTGAAGCTGTCTGAGCAGTGTACAACAATTAATAAAATACAATATATAATATAAATAGCATCATATAAACACCCTGTCATTGTGGAGTTAGAGGCCCTGTTTGCAATAACAACAACCCATCAGTTTTAAAAAATTTAAAAAACCACGTTTTGTGCATGAGAAGGTGGTCTGCCTGCAGCATACCTTCCCCTCCGCCTCACAGGCCAACGGCAGCTTCCTCGTAGGCTACTGAGTGCAGCATCTGACCCCAGACCGGCCCAATCCAGCGGCCAGCCCATAGTTCACAGCATGGCTTAAACATGATGTTGTCCAGTCCCCAAATGATCATGATCCTGAGCTGATCATGGGCTACATGGTGAAGCAGAAGAGATGGGAAGCCCAGAACCACCCGTGGATTTTTGTTGCAGGCAAGCCAGATCGATACAGGCAACTTACTTGTTCTTAGAAGATTCTGAAGTCCTCGCCCAAAGGACGGCTAAAAATGCACCGGTGATAAATGTGCCATGCAAGCAGCCTGAAAATGCTGGGCTGACTCTTCCTCTAATGCTTACTCTTCAGTTGGTTGTTTGATATCAACCGTCCCTTTTAACCTCCGTTGCACTGGCAGCCTTTGCCGCTTCTCCCTTACTGCCTTTCCTTCTCACCAATTCAAAGTGCTTAATTTAATCTAAGTAAAAGGATAACTTATGTGATTTTATTTTCCTATAACTGTATTTATTCACCAAGTCAGTTTATAAACCACTTGAGTATAAAAAGATGTTTCAAAGCAGTTTGCAACATAAATATGTAAAATACAAAATAACCACAGTTAAAATACTTTAAAAATAGATCATACAAAAATGTCCCAGTTAAAAGCGTTTGAAACCAAAGATAAATATTCTCAACTGAAATGTTAAAATCAGGGGATTGTTTCCAGCATTAAACCTACTCAGAGTAGATGCATTTTGCTAAGAGGGTTAAACTGTTTCACTCTGGAACGTCACCAGGGGGTGTGATCAAGCACAAAATTGGATCATTGGACCATCTATCCCTACACTGTCTACTGTCCGGATCTCTCCAGGGTTTCAGGCAGAAACTGCCTCTTGCTTGGTTACCCAAGATCCAGCTGGAGATGCGAGGAGTAGACCAGGCAGCTTCAGTATGCAAGGTGTGTGCTCAGCCACTGTGTTACTTCACTCACAACTCTCCTTGGACCTGCCTGTATCTGACAACCACCTAAGAAGCTTGGCTTGAAGGTGTACTTTATTGGCTGTGTAATTACCTACATTTTGAGCATAAACCTGACAGCCAATTAAAATGCGTGTTTTAGTTGTAATGATATGCAAACTTCAGTTCTACCTATATCCCTGGAAACACATTACAGCGAGCACTAAAATCATTTTCTAAACATTTTGCTTTCAGAACTAACTCTGAAAGGTTGGAAAAGATAAGAAACATGCCGTATGGAGAGTAAGCAATACCCTTATTTGATCATCTTTGCCATTGTTTTCAGTTTGATTTTGTAAAGCTGATGGACGGAAAACAGTTAATTAAGCAGGAACCAAGACATTTGGAGGAATCTCAGCACATCCCAAGGAATCTGATCTTAATGTCCATGCAAGAAACGGGTTTCATAGAATATATGGATCAAGGAGCTTGGCACATGGCGTTTTACAATGATGGCAAGAAGATGGAACAAGTGCTCATGTTGACAACAGCCATCGGTAAGAACACCTTGTTCATTTTCCCCATCTGACTATTTCGAAGCTTAATAGATATTAAGTCTATTCAGTCTAAGCTTTAAATAAACTGATGTCTATAATGATGGATCATAAGGAGAGTCCTTGCATCTGCAAGCGAATGGAAACTCTGGAGGTGGGTCTGTACATAACCTGAGCTGAACTCTGGAGGTGGGTCTGTACATAACCTGAGTTGAATTCAATTGGGGTCATGGAATGAAAAGTCTCACAGTCTGAACCTGCATGTGGAAATAATTGAGGGGGTGATATTTCTTCTTTCAAACATTTTGAATATACTCTCAGATGTAGATCCTTCCATTATAACTCCAGCTCTGGACTAAATGGCTATGCTGAACTTTCCCATGTTTGGGTTCCAAGAGTTACATTGGTAGGTTACAGTACTAGCTTCAAAATGACATGTGAGACACCAGAATTCCTTTGGCACAAAGTGTGCTCTAATCTGGGTTAATCAGAAGGGTACCTTACTCTTCGAGGAGCTGCATCACCATTGCCTTGCACCACAGGAGTAATGCCTCTCACTGGCAACCTCAAAGACAGCTAGGTGCGTTACAGGACATAGCAGTGAATCCCCTGAAAAGGTAACACCGGGTTTGCGGTCTTTCATCCAAGGAGGCCTTTGATCTTGGTACTGTTTGCCTTTTCCTGCTCCGGTTCCACCACTGATTGCCTTACATTTATGCCATTTTGTATCTTACAGAAGCAGGATGCTTATCTGAAATAAAGTATGGCTTAATGGAAAGCTGAGTTGAATGTATCAGGAAATAGTGAAATAATAATGAGATAGCTTTGAAGTGTAGAGAGAGGTTACTCAGTGCATCAGTACTTGGCCTCTTCATATGATTTCAGTGGTGGGAAATGGAATATGAACACTCAATGAACTCTCCATTGCATAATGAAGCACCACTTGCTATTCTAACTTGTGAAAGCTGAACGTAAATGGGCATCGTTGAACAGGATGGGAATCCAGAAGTGTTCGGCCAGTTCACTCCCCCTTGGCTTTTCGCACTATCACATGGCATTACACAAACCAGAAATAGTTATCTCAGCACCATCTTCCCCAGCTGAATACTCCAAATATCTTAGACTACAGCTCCCATTAGGTCTAGCCAGCATGGCCAGTGGTCAGGGAGTGTGGAAGATGGGATCCAAAGCATATGTCAAACCCCAGGTTGATTAAGGCTGGTTTAGCATATCCTATGAACATGGGATTCGGGTTGCTGTTTCCAAACATACCAAGGTTCAAGAACTGAGAGCAAACTCAGCTTACAATCCTGGCTTGTGAAAGCAGCATCACAGGTCCAGACAGCATGGTCAGCAAACCATTTCTGTGTTTAGCCATTGGCTCCAGGAGGAGCCAAGTGGGAGCAAAGAGACCATCTGCATGAACATATCGTGTATTCGTAATAAGTCAGGATTCTCCGGAAATACATTTTGTGCAAATCTAGCCAATTCTTTGCAGAGTTGCAGCCCTTTTCAGAGTTGTCCTTCCCTTCCCTTCTCCTTGCATGAACAGAAGTCATGGATGACTGTTCCACCAACTGCAATGGGAACGGTGAATGCATCTCCGGCCACTGCCATTGTTTCCCAGGATTCCTTGGTCCTGATTGTGCACGAGGTAAGGATTTGTTCGCACAGAGAGAGAGAGAGAGAGAGAGAGAGAGAGAGAGAGAGCGCATTTAATGAAAGCTCCCAGTCAAATTTTATCCAACCTTAGTCGCTATGATCAACATATTAGGATGTGAGCGCTTTGACTCGCCAAAATCCATATGCAGAGGCTCTTCTGAAGGAATCCTCCTCCAAGGAGTTAAGGGGGATGGAGAACAGAAGAGGGACCTTCTCAGTGGCTGTGAAGGCTTATAGCCTCCCAAGAGCGGTTCACCTGACCAGGTAAAAGCAACTCTTACTCCAGGCATTTCAACAATTGAATTTATCTCCTATAAATTGCAATGGAACTAATTTCATTGATTTTAACCTATATTGTTTCAACTCCTTACAGTACCATCCTACTCTCAGTTTTATAATGTTGTCTTGTGTATATTGTTGTAAATGGGGTTTATTGTTATGCTTTTGTTTATATTATTGCCTTACTTTATATTATGTCCTTTATTGTTATTAATATATACATTTTGTTTTTATTTTGTTCTGCAGTCCACCTAAAGAGTCTGGTTGGCTTAACTGGGTTGCAGAATACAAATTTAATAATACATTTAAAAATAAATAAATAAGCAAGCAAGCAAGCCAACAGTGGCATCAGCAGTTTTAAAATGGCGACCTCATGTCAACTTTTCAGCTTCTGATTAGTTACTGCATAGCACACGTTACAGTCTAAGGATAGGAGGTTGTTATTGTGGTTACAAAAGTCCACATGATTTGGGAGTTTTCTTTTATGCTGGCCAACCTATTGAAATAAATTGAAATAAAGTATTAATCACCCATTCACTCTATCAAGGATGAAGCACTTTTCATTTCTGTGAAACAGAGCAGGGGAAAAAACTGAAAACTCTTTTTCTCTTTCTTCAACTCCTCCACCTTTCCTCCCGAGTTTGTGCAGTTTTGTTACTCACTGGCATGTGTACAACACATACAGGGAAGGAAAAAGAAATACTTTTTAATTCCTTCCCTATCAGCTTTGAAAGCACCTGCTGCTAAAACCCCTGAACCATTCTGACATTTTTCAGATTTCTTCCCTAAGGGAATGTCTGTGATGCATGCCATTCTCATTCAGAATGCCAAAGCAAAACATAGCAGGGGTGCAAGACAATTGGGAAAATCCCCCAAGTTGCAGAAGCTACCTTGGTGTAACAGACGGTGTATCTACCTGTCTGAAATGGGCCAATTCCTAGTCCTGCAAATACCATCCAATTCCGTCAGAAAGCAAAACATCCTGCTATCTCTTTGTCGGTCTTCAAAGGCAGAGGAAAAAAGGAGATTCTGATTATACCCCAACTCGAATCAGGCAGCTTTCCAAGTGTTCCTGACCTCTAACTGAGGCTGACCTCCAAATCGGGCACCAAGCTAAAACTTAAGGCCAGTGCAGTCCCCTAATACAGATTGCAAGCATCAGGTTCTGGTCTCTTCCCCAGATTCTTGCCCAGTGTTATGCAGCGGGAATGGAGAATATGAGAAGGGGCACTGTGTGTGTCGCAACGGATGGAAGGGGCCGGAGTGTGATGTTCCCGAAGAGCAGTGCATTGACCCCACCTGCTTCGGCCATGGCACGTGCATCATGGGAATCTGCATTTGTGTCCCTGGGTACAAAGGAGAGATTTGCGAGGAAGGTTCGTGCTCTTTTTTCTCTTGTTGGATAGCTTCTCCTTTCTTTACGTGCCAGGCATGTCAAACGCTTGAGAAGCAAAGTGGCTATGCAAGCCCAAGGAACATTCCTGTTTTCCCTCAGTAATGCTCTACATCTTTAGAGGAATGGATCAAGCTTATTTCTAATTAGGAATGGATGAATTACTCTATTTCCAGACTGTATTGCTTTCACATGCCTTCTCTCATAAACCTGCTCTGTCTCATTTCCTCATTCATCTGTGATTAAAAAAAAATCCATATGAAAAACACATTTACGTATGAACACCTCTTAATAGATGCATTTGTAATCATACTCCCTCTCAAAACACACATTTTACTGCATTTTATTGCAAAATAAGCATTTTAATTGCATTTGGATACATGTTTTTAAATGAGCACTGCATTCACAGAAGTATAAAATCAGACTTCTTTTATTTATGCAACTTGATTTTACTTATTTATTCATGCATGCATTCCTTAATTGCATTTGTATCCTACCATTTTTCCTCCACGTGGCTCAAGGCAGTGTACCTAGTCTTCCTCCTCGCCATATTATTTTCACAGCAGTCCTGTGTTGTTGGGGATATGTGAATCAGCAAAACTCAAGTTCTCTCCACAGTGGTACCTTGGCTCATGAACTTAATCCATTCCAGGACTCTGGTCATGACCCATATTGGTCATGAGCCAAGTTAAATTTCCCCATAAGGTTCATTGTAAATAAGGTTAATCCATTCTGTAACCATTTCTTTTTTAATCAGAAAAATGTGAAGCAAAGTGACAGAACAAGAAAAATCGTGGCCATCTCCCTCTCCTACCCCGAGCACAAGCGCGGCCATCTCCCCACCCCACCAGCACAACCGAGATTGTGCCCATCACCCCGGCACGTGGAGGGGGAGACGGGTGCGATCGCGGGCACACTGGGGGAGAGAGAGACGGGCACAAATGGGGGTGCACTGGGGGAGGGAGAGACAGGCGCAATCTCAGCAATCTCTCCCCCACCCCCAGCATGATCACGGCCATCTCCCCACTCAGGGACAGGGGGAGATGGCCGCTGTCATGCTGGTTGCGGGGCGGGGGAGAGATGGCCGAGCTCGCGCCCGTCATTTCTGCAAGAGCACGCCCATGATCACACATGTCTTCCCTGCACAATTGCAACTGTGATCGTGGCCATCTCCCCACTCGGGGGTGGAGAGATGGCTGCGATCTTGGTTGCCACCCAGTGCGGAGTTCATGACCCACATCAAAATTTTCATGAAATTTTTGTTCATGACCCGATTTGGTCATGAACCAAGGCATTTGTGAGCCGAGGTACCACTGTAGTCCATTGTGAAGTTTGAGTCCATATCACATGAGCTTTTTTTTTCTTTTTTCCTGAAAATCCATCCCGTTTTAGACATCAGTTGGGCATATGTTTGAAATGTACCTGTTTTGAAATGTGCAATGCCTCGGAGAAGTATTCACCCTCCTTTTAACTCTTCCACACTTTGTTGTGTTACAACCTGGAATGAAAATGGATTTCAGTGACAGGATGTGCACAAAATCCTCAACGCTGTGAAGGTACAAAGTATTTTTATTGAGTACAAGAGAGAAATAAGCAAAACTGAACTAGCACTTCTTCACAGTCTCACTTTTTCCTGTAATGTGCCTAAAAAAGCTCTGGGACAGCCCATTCGCCTACTGCGTCCAAGAGTCACATACAATAAGTACCTGAATTGCCACCTGTGTGCAATGCCAGCACCGCACACTCTCCGATTAAATGCATCTCTTTCTGGAAGACTTGTTGGAAAGTGTGTCTGAACAAACTGCATCATGAAGACCAAGAACCTATTAAAATAACTGCAGAGTAAACCAGGGCAGAAAAACCACTTAGGGTTGGGTTATTTAAAAAAAATCATGAACAACATAATTCATGAACAAGCCGTGGGAGCACTTTTAAAGCTATTAGGACAAAACAGAGAATATGACTCAGCTGGAAAGGGTATGACTCAGCCATTGCTCTTTTAAGAGAAGACAGTCTACTGGAATTATGCTACCACATGTGCAATCTTCCCTCTTAACCCCAGATATATGAGCATGGTATATATTCAGCTATCTCGTTTTAATTTTGCAATTCTTGAATGGTGCAGCTTGGACTGAAAGACCATGACTTGTCTCCCTATTAAGGTCAGGCTCCTTAAGCACTCCATTTTGTACAGGCTTTCAGCCAAGCTTTATGGAAAGTGGCAACCATGATAACTGCTCTTCATGTTCGTGGCATGGAGGCAAGTGATTTCTAGACTTTCTTTGGTGATTTATACAGCTTGATTCAAATAACCACCAAATGCACTGCTGCTGATTTAGCATGACAAGGCCTTCTGACCTATTGGAAGGGAGCTAATGATCTGAACTTCACTGCTGTGCAGTGGTTTCCACACAATCACCAGAGGGGACATGGCCGGTCATTAGCCCAGCTGAGCTGCTCACCACAAGTGATCTGGGTCCAGTCCACCTAGCAGAGGGCTGGCTGACTGCACATAATTGTTGATTCAAATGAAGTTCCTCGCTTAGAACCAGTGCATTTTTTGTCATAGAACGCACAGGAACGGAGTTCCGGCACCTTTTTTCAACAGATTTTCCAAGTTTTAAAAGTAACTTTTGAAAATTTGATGTTTGGTCCACGTGGATATGAATTGCCCTGTCGAGCGTAGTGGGGCGGCGGCAAAATCATTAAAATGGTGCATGCGGGCTGCTTGTGTGTCGAGTCCAATGCATGCGCACTTCGTCCGCGCTGGTTGTGATGGTGCTGCTCAGCTTGTGATTGGTTGTGTGGTCGCGCGCTGAGTGCTTACTGCAGGCAGCGGCCATTATGTTTCGTTACACAACTGACATGTGTGGGTGTGTGTACAGTGATGGACTATGTGCAAAAGGTAAATAATTTCATGAGTCCTGGCACCATTTTTCTTACAAAAAAAGCACTGCTTAGAACCATCATTCAGTGTTGGACAGGTTGGCTGAGCTCACTATCCAAATGAGAGGTGGCATAAGCGAACAGGCCTTTTGCTAGTGGTCCTGTGTCCCTTATCTAGGGATGCGCTGATGAAGCACAGCTCATTGGAGCACAGCCGTCTTCCTCCTGCTTCCAGTCTGATGATGGAACTGGGCTCCTGCAAGGTTTTTTTGTTTTTGTTTTTCTTTCCCAAGGACTTGCATCTCCAAGGTGGGCCATGGTGTTCACAATTTTAAAAATGCTAAGGACATTTGCACAAACATGCTACTTCATTGATTTATTATAGTTGTGCAATTTGCCCAAACCCGAAGTCAGGAACTATGTCATTCCAGCATAATTTGTGCAAACTGAATGGTAGAATTGCATGGTTGTCCACTTCCAGCTTATTTTAAATAGTGCAAATTTCAAGATTTCCTTTGTGCCTAAAAATTGTCAAAACGTCCTCTCGATTTGGGCAACGGGAGGCCAGCAGCATTCCAGGGCTGATGAACTTGTCTCTGGAGATGAGGCAAATGAGGAAAACACACCAGATTTTCACTCCCTACTGGATTTGTCACACTTGGCTACACCTCCTTTAATGCCATTTCAGGACTAGGCAAAGACCTTTCTGTTTTCCGAGGCTTTGCCAGCATGTGGTCATTCCAATTTTTTAAAAAAGCTTGGTGGATCTCGCTCCTCTGCTGTCTCTTTTCAACCCGCTGAGTGCTGTGAGTGCATCCAATGCTGTGCTACCGGTAATATCAGCAACACCATTTCAGTGTAAAATGTTTCTAGCTAGTGCCAACAAGCACCACCGGCATGGTCCGGATCATGGTTCAGGCTAGCACATTTATGCTAGTGGCAGTGTGACACTGGCTTCTTGCCCCTCGTGTTTGTATCTCCCTTGTCCTTTGTTTAAGGAATGCATTTCAGTCTAACATAGAGTAGGATCTGCTCCCTTTTGGTGGGACAGGGAAGATTCTTACTATTTAAATGTTTATGTTGTATTGCAAACTGCATATGGGTTGTTATTAGGTCAAAACAGACAGGCAGATGGAGACTCCTGCATCTTACTTCCCCCTCCTTCCAGTACACCATCATTTTTGGACCGTGACTCTGGTGTAGGCAACACAGCGCCTCTTGTCCCTTCGTCTCAGCGGACTTTGGTTCAGCCGAAGAAGCATATGAACTTGCGATTGACAACCTGAAATCTTTTATGGCATAGAGTAATCTTTTTGTGACTTGAGAACATGAACTGGATAATTGATTTTTTTAAGAGACACAGAGAGAGAAAAAGCACCAGCCAGTTGCGAAAAATACCAGCTGATAAAGATTAGTGAATTTTGAAAACACAAACAGTGGTATAAATCATCTTCATGTGATTTCCTGCAATGGGAAGATTGATTTTTCTAATCAAGGAATTCTTTGAAAAATTAAAAACCTTCCACAAAATCAAAGCTTGCATACAAAAGCACCAGCACAAACATTGTACCCAAGGCCCTTTCTGAGATTTACTTGTTGACGGTGAAATTCCTCCACTGATCTCCAGACCCTCTTGGAGGAAATTATCTTGTCTGAAGCACCTGCAACCCCAGCCTGCTAGCTACTGCTCTGCTAAGCCATCCTCAGGTGTGTCCCATAGGCTCCCTCCACAATCAGGACTGGAGAAAAGCATGGCTCCCAGTATTGTCTCTGTCAGGAAAACTATAAAGAGGTTATTAAGGTGCAACAGGTTGAGTGATGAACTTTTCCAGTCACATTTTCTTGAAGCCCTGCTAAGGCTTTATGACCTTCAGCTTGTGAAGAGCAGCAGACATAATTGCCTCAAAACTGCCTTCCCTGATCATTTTATAGATACAGGCTGCTTCTGCTGTGAGAACAAAAACTGTTTGCCATTCTGAAGCAGCTTTGGCCCTACTGTGTTTCCCACGGGGAGGGAGGTGAAAGCCTGTTTACATAAGGACAGATTCTGGAATAGCAGAAAAGAAGAAATTTATAAAATCCATGGAAGTATTGCCCTTTGTTCTTGGCTGCGGGAAAAGAATGGACACATGACTCACCCAGACAATTTTGGAGGCCCACAGAGCATCCGATACATAACTAATACAGCCACATGACAGGGAATTCAAGCTTTTCACAGGTTTAAATTCTGTTCATATTTCATCATTGTAGTCAATCAGCGACGCATCATCTACGACACAGGCTGTTTTGTTTCTTCCTAAGTATCCTTGAATCTAAAGCGAGGTGCCATCTGTGGACCAAGCCTTGACAGTTCAAAAAGAGATGTGTCCATTGGCCCTTCACCTCATGCCACTAACCCTGCTTAGATCCTCCAACCTCAGGGATCTGTTTTCTTGCCAGTTTTCTGCTTCGACTATTGAATGCCTCTGTCTCCCTCTCTTGCTTTCCAGAGGACTGTTTAGACCCAATGTGCTCTGGCCATGGAGTCTGTGTGCAAGGGGAATGTCACTGCTCCATGGGCTGGGGAGGAGTCAACTGCGAAACGTCGCTGCCCATCTGCCAAGAACAGTGTTCAGGTCATGGCACCTTCCTCTTGGACACTGGTGTGTGCAACTGTGACCCAAAGTGGACAGGTTCTGACTGCTCAACAGGTAGGGTCCCTTTTCACTGATTTGGATTTGATTTCTGATGCAAAATGGGGGCTTGGTGCATGAATAGGTGCCAGCTTTCCTGTTTCACCCCCAAAAGCAGCTTAAGGGAAGGAAACATGTTTCTCACTGATACGAACTGAAAAGCAACATTTTGAAGTGATGCTTCTTTTTGGCAAAAGTATTCTTTGCTCTATGGAAAAAAGGTTGAGGAATTCTCATGGTTCCCCCACACTGTTCAGGCAATCCCCAGGTTATGAACAACTTCCATTTCTGAGGAAACAGAAATTAATCTTTAAGTCGAATTTGTATAGACTTAATGTCCCATCGTGTATAGTTGGCCCTCCCCATTTGCAGGAGTTGGGGGCACAGGACCCATGTGAAAATGGAAAAACCACATATATATCTATCCCCCCAACTCACCAGTGCCAGAGGGAATTCCCACTTCAGGTGGGTGGGGCAGGAAGGCATGCTTTGGAGGTCTCCCACTCTGCCCTTTGGCTTCCTCTCTTTCTCTAGGGTGATGGTGATTTTCCATAGTGATGTTTAAAAAATTAGCAGGCTTTGTGGCAGGTTGTTTGTAAGTACAGGTTTGTAAGTACAGGTACATAACTTGGGAAGTCGTATCTTGGGGACTGCCTTTAGTTATATTTATGGTGAAAGAGAGGAGACAAGGAATGTAGCAGTTCCAGGCTTACTCTGGCTTGCTTTCATTACGCTAAACTACTGTTTAGTATCAGGCTGGGCAAGTTGTGCCCCTGTGATGCTTTGGCTTACAACTCCCATCATTCCTACCCAGTGGTGTCGAAGAGTCGAAATTCTCCATTGTGTAAAGCCAGTCTCTCCTTTAGAAGGATAAATAAATCCAACACCAACTACATTTATTTAGAAAAGGTTCTTTCTGTTTCTCTCATTCTATTTAAGGGGAAAAGGATGGTAAAAACTAATACTAATTACTCCCACTCAAGCCAACTTTTAAAAAAGTAGCCCTGTTCTGCTGATTTGAGTACTACTTTTGCCTACCCAGCTTTTGCTCCTCTCTAATCAAGTTGTCTGCATTTTATGTTGATTTCTATAGTGGGGTGGAGCTGGGGGACAATAACTGTGATTGCTGGCCAAAAATGTGTTCTTCTTCTGCAAAGTTTGTGATTAATTTCTGAGAGCATTCTAAAATCAAGGAATGCTGTTGCTTGGAGATTGCCTTTTGGCTGTCCCCTGGAATGCAGTATCACTTTAACTCAAGTAAAACAAAAGCATTTGTGGCGAAAACTCGTAAGTTCTCGTGGTCTTCCCCCTTCTAAAATGTGAAAGCTGCTGTGGGATGTTGGTTAGAGTCTTGGGACAGGGTAATCTTGGCTCTCGTCTCTGCTCGGCCACGGAGCCCACTGGGTGACTTTGGGCCAGTCACAGGCTCTCAGCCCAACCTACCTCACAGGGTTGTTGTTGTGGGGACAAGATGGAGGAGGAGAATGATGTAAGCTGCCTTGAGTTCCTCCCATTAAATGCAATACAGTGATAATCATAACAGCAATAATAATGATGGGACAGAGCTGTGCTGGGGAGCAGTGATGTGCACTGGCTGGACCAGGTGTGTTTTAATTTGCCTGGTCTTCTATGAAAAGTTCCTGCATTACTCTGGCACCATTAGCACACTCCTCTCCAGATGTGTATTATTATTATTATTATTATTATTATTATTATTATTATTATTATAACATTTCTGTGCCGCCCCTTGCTGAAGCCTCGGGGCGGCTTACAACACAATAAAATACATTGAAATACAATAGAACATAATAAATTACCGTTAAATACAAAAATACAAAAAATACACTGAGTTACAAACATAATAATATAAAATTAAAATTATCAGTATAACATAAGTAAATAAATAATATAGGAGGAGAAAAGAGAAGGAAGAAGAAGTTGCCCTGGCCAGATCATATATTTTAACAATTAAAATGATGTTTAAATACTAAGGTCCTTACCTGGCGCCGAAAAACCAGTAACGACGGTGCCAGGCGGACCTCTTTGGGGAGTGAATTCCATAGGCTGGGTGCCACCGCAGAGAAAGCCCTCCTCCGAGTACTTACTCTCCTAATTTCTTTCATGGAGGGTTCCCGGAGAAGGGACTCTCCCGCAGATCTCAAAGGGCAGTCGGGCATATACGGACGTATCCACTGGCCTACTCCTATATTGATGGAGTAGGAAAACTTTCAATAACCGGATGAGTTTCAAGGGAAGGCAGTTCTCGGTCAGTCTTCTAGGCAAACAATGAACTTAATCCATGTTTGTGCTGTCCACTCCCAGTAGGTATGTGCTGATCATATGTAAGAGCAGAACCCTTGCATAGATGCCACCTGTCTTCTAAACTCTTTGAGTAATTTGGGGAAATAAAAATATTGATCCCCTTTTGGGAGCAAGAAAAATGGTGTGAGTGAACTTAAAATTTCAGACTTTTGCTCTATGATACTGCTTTCAGTCTTGAACACCAACAAAGATCAAGAACTCACCTTGAATACGGTGTCTGGTTTTGGACATTTTATTAAACATCCAGATAAATTGGAAAGGGCTCAGCAAATGGCAGCAAAGATGATCAAAGGGCTAGAATCTAAATCCTATAAAGAAAAATAGGAGGAAATGGTTATGTTCATCTTTACAAAGAAAAGACGGACTAATATGGGGAACTTGCATACATTTGTACTCCTTTTATATTAGTTGAATTGTATTTTCACTCCATCATTAGGTATTTAGCTCCTAGATAGGCCATTTTACTGTAGTTGTTCCAGAAACTTATCATTTATAGACTAATGGCACAATCCTATACATGCTCTGACAAAAAGTTCTACAATCCCAGCATTCTCATTCTAGCCACGCTGTGAGCCTTTTTCTTCTCTTGCCCTCCCTCCCTTCCTTCTTCTTTGACTGGCATTTTATCTCAGTTGTGCTCATTTTTCATGGAAACCATCTCTCCCTCTCAGAATGATAAAATATTTAGTTTTAATTTTACTTTTCATATATTGCACAAGTAAAAACTTATTAATGAGAAAAATACCTATGAGGGCTCCTTGTTGACTTAGGTAATTAAAGCACAGCATCTAAAGTGAATTTTAATGCTGCTTAAATTAGTGTGGATAGGAATAATCAACTGATTTGTCTTCTTCTGAAAAAAAAAAAAAACCTGACCAAGAACTTTTCTGAAAATAAATACCTAACCAAGAACTCTTCAGCTTCCAGATTCATTTTATTGAGGTCGAATTAATCAGTTTTCAGGATACAGAATGTATCTCTAATAATTGTAGAATAGTTGAACATAAACTTCATGAACATTCCTGTTCAAACTTAAATTAACTTCAAGGAGGCCCAGTCTATTTTTCTTCTTAGAAACTTGAGTTATTATGAATTTTTAAAGACACAAAATGAAATAAGTGCTCCTGAGGGTATAGCATGAATGTATTACTAAAAGAGCAGAGGATAACAGTTATTCAGCAGGAGAGGATCATTATGCTTCTAAATAGGCCTGCCGTCAGAACTTGGCATAGTTGGGCAAATGCTGGCTTCCCAGAGGGCCCGCCATTGCTGAAGCTGACATTCACGTCATTGTTAGTTTTATTTGGGCACACACTGAAAGGAGAAGTGCCAGGCCAGGTGTTTGCAGTCTCCATCTTCATTCTCCTCAATGCTTCTTAAGGTGGGCAGGAGTCTCTTTCACGGGGGACTGTTTAAAAGCCACCCACTATTTGAAGGGCTATCCTGTCCAGCCTGATTGGTTTTATTTATAGTATAGCATAGAATCATATAATAGTGGAGTTGGAAGGGGCCAGTAAAGCCATTGCATTAGCGCTAACCAATGGAGGACTCCAATATCTAGATAGGTTCTGGAATAGTGAATGCCAGAAATCTGAAACTGATGAAAAAATAAAAATAACACCTTAAAACCAGGGAAATGTTAAAACTGTGGTGGGTCATAACTAAGACTTGCCAGAACAACCCCATCTTTGGGCTGCATTAATAGAATGCACTGCCAAATCACGTGAAGTATTAGTTCCCCTCTGCTCAGCACTGGCCTCATCTGGGGTTCTGTGTCCAGCTGTGGGCACCACACTTTCCGAAACATGCAGACAACTGGAAAGGATTGGAAGAGGGCAACAAGGATGATCAGGGGACTGGAAACAAACCATGTCAGAGCAGTTTGAAAGAAATGGGCATGTTTAGCATTGAGAAGAGACGAAAATGAGAGAGATATTATCATTCTTCAAGTACTGGAAAGGCTGTCACAAACGGGCAGGACAGGCTCTTCTCTTGATCATTCCAGAGGGCAGGACACAAAATAAAGGGCTCAAGTCACAGGAAACCAGGTTCTGGCTGAGCATCAGGAAGAACTTCCTGACTGTCAGAGCAGTACGACAATGCAATCGATGACCTGGGGAGGTGGTGGGCTCTCCCACACTGGAGGCATTCAAGACGCAGTTGGACAGCCATCTGAGCGGGATGCTTTAACTTGGAGCCCTGCATTGAGCTGGCGGGTGGACCCAGTGGCCCTCTGGCCTCTTCCATCTCGGATCCTATGATCTTCAGCAGGCACTGAAAACAACAAAATGCAGGAGCCAGCCTGACTCCCAGAGTAGGGGAGGACCATACTAATGGAGTCAGCCCACCAGAGGCTCTTCTCCTAGTGAACTTCAGTTGGTCTATAGGTCCATGTCGAACCACTAGGAGCACATCCTCCAAGAACCTCCATGACCAGGCAGGTTGGGAAGGGGACAAGCAAATCCTGTTCCTAAGATTTGCTTTGCAAAACAAGCAGGCCAGGGAGAGAAAATGCAGGGTTTGTTCCAACACATCTAACAACCCGGGTTTTGTGAAATGTAGCTTTTGAAATGGGGAATAAGCACCGGGCAGTTTTATTCATCCCTAGATCCTCTTGGCTTCAGCACTTCAGTCCTGGCTATAGTAAAAGACTTTCCCATTCATATCTAAAGTAGAAAACTGTGGCTTCCTGTAAA